TTACAAAGTTGGAAACCATCCGGCATCACACAAACCGGATAATGTTTTACAGAGTTGGAAACCATCTGCCATTACACAGACCGGAAGTGTCTTACAAAGTTAGAAACCATCTAGCATTACACAGACTGGAAGTGTTTTACAGAGTTGGAAACCATTCGACACTACACAAACCGGATGGTTTATTGCAGTTTTGAATCTTCAATTGCAATAGTAAATTTCAGCCCCTTAGGTGATAAAATAGAGTTTACACCTTCAAAATCATCTAAAGCCCAACATTCCATAAGGTAGTATATGATTCTCACAAGTGTATAAACCATCTGGCATGGAGAAGACCAGATGGTTTATTATAGAGTTGGAAACCATCCGGTATTATACAAACCGAATGGTTTATTGCAATTTTGAATATTCAATTGCAATTGTAAATTTCAAACCCTAAGGTGATAAAATAGTATTTACACCCTCAAAATCATCTAAATCCCAACATTCCATAAGGTAGTATATGAATCTCACAAGTGTATAAACCATCTGCCATGGAAAAGACCAAATGGTTTATTATAGAGTTGGAAACCACCCGGCATTACATAGACTGGATAGTTTTTTATAGAATTGGATACCATCTGACATTACATAGACTGGATTATCGTTTACAATTTTGAAACACATTTTTTTGAATTCTTTTTGAAACATAAATAATAGTTGCAAACATTTATCCCTCAACATCGTATTTACACCAATAAAATCATTTAGAGCCCACTAAACCTCTTTGTTTTGTATGATTCTTATATGTTTACAGACTTGGAAACCATCCGGCACTAAATAGACCAGATAATTGTTTGCAATTTTGATACATAAGTTACAGTTTTGAACATCTATCCCCCTGTAGGTAGTTACACCATCAAAACCATTTAGAATTCAATGAACATCTTGGTTATGTATGATTCTCATATTTATAGACTTAGAAACCAATTAATCGCATCAATTACTTAAACAATGAAATACAAATAYAAAGAAACAACAAACAAAAAATAAAATATGTAAAATCTCCCCAAGCCTATTAAAAAGAGTTGGAGAAACCAAAAAAAATAAATAAATAAAGGGAATGGGACCCCAAATCGAGGTTAGAAGAAGAAACCCCTTCCTGCTAACTCTGAAGTTTGTGAGAAGACAAACAATCAAATAGTAATTTCGAACTTGAACTTGGAGAATGGGACCCCAAATCACTCAAACTCAAACTTAGATGGAGAATGGGATCTCAAATCACTTGAACTCGAACTTGGATGAAGAATGGGATCCCAAATCACTCGAACTCAAACTAGGAGGGATATTGCTTTGAAGATGGAGTCTTCCTAGCCAGCCGCAGTTTGAATCGATTGAGTTGATGCTTCCCATCCAGATGAAATCGATGCTTCCGATCTGAAGTTGTTTGAATGGATGGAGTCGATGCTTCCAACCAGCCACAGTTTGAATGGACGAAGTCAAACTTGAACTTGGAGATGCTTCTAGCCAATTTGAATGGATGGAGTCGAACGAACGAAACATGAATGCTCTTTGCAAAAAATCCAACAAAAAATTAGGAAATTAAACAGAATATTTTTTACCATGAGGATGGTTTAGTTAAAATAAACATTTTCCAGTGTATAGAAACCTGCTTTGGGCAATTTCATTCCTAATTACAAGTATTTAGTTTACCGAAAAAAAGGACTAAGTATTCAAGTGACTACCAACTCTGTATAAGGTTGCAAGTCAGGCCGGGTTAGGTCGGGTTGAGGCCAACCCTAGCCCAAACCTAAGTTCTAAACCCCAAACCCTAATCCTAATCCAACCTGACATTCAACTCAATCTACTCAACCCTAACCCTAACTCTAACTAAATTCCTTCAACCTTAACCCAATCCAAAGTCGGCTAGGCTCGAGTTAGAAACAACCCAGCCCAACCTTCTTCCCATCCCTTAAAATCTCATAGAACTTCTTAATCTCAGATCTTAACTCAACTTTCACTACATATATTAATCCTATATTTCATTAGTATTTGTTTGTTGATGCTTTTATTGGTTCTTTAAGTACAAAATTCAGGAAAAAAAAGTGTTTGAAATGACTATAGTTTATTATGAGCTATAACTTGTAATGATTTATGGGCAGCAAGCTATGGGTGACAAACAACAAAGAGGAAATAACGAATAAAATATTCAAAAAACATAAAATATATTATTAAGGTTTTAATATTTTCGATTAATATTAAATGAAGTGATTCTTTTAAAAGAAATAAATGATAGTATGTGGTAAGGGTTATACAATTACCATGCATATAAATAAATCAATATATAATATATATTATAAAATCGGGTTCGGATTGGATTCAAGCCAACCCGGTACAAGTTGCAGCCTTACCTCCGTGTATGATCCATAAAGGAGGCTCATGCCAAATAAATGGGTAGCGTAATCATAGAAAACACCTCTGAATCACTTGCACTCCACCGGAAGATGCAACTGATTAGATTTAATATGATTAAGGAAGTAGGTCCATGATAGGTGCTGAGCCACTTTCTCTAATATAGTGTAGTGTTAGACCTGGTCCATCTTATTTTACCTCAGTATAAAAGAGGAGGAAAAAGGACTGAAACATATTAAAATAGAAAAATAAATGTTGGAGTCACAATCACGCATGAACCCCACCTTTTACGGAGGACAGAATCATCGGGATGTTTATGAACTTTTCTATTATATTCTAATTTATTTGTACTATTAATTATAAATTGGACGTTTGCATTAATTTTGATATAAGTCATAAAAGTTAAATTTAATTATATATATATATATATATAATATCGATTTTTATCTTTAGCTTTTACTTATACATATATTTACACTGATACCAAATGGTTGAGATCAAATCCCGCCTATATTTGCATTGGGGGCGAGGACGGGGCCCATTGTATAGCTTCTTGGAGGAAAAAATAATAATAAAATTAATAAATATAAAAGTTTTATGAAAAAATCTATCATGCCAGAAGGACTTTGACCAATCAACACCCTTCTTAAAACTTTGATTGACTATAATGCCATGTTTTTTCAGCATTATAGTCAGAATCTCACCAAAACCCAAGGGTGGTTGAAGTAATTTTACCCATGAAGAATATAACGAGAATCCAATGCCATAAATTTTGACCAGACCTGACCGACCAACCCTCCGAAAACCCGTTGGCCTTTGACCGGGTTTGGTTCACATATTGTCTCGAGTCTCGACCGACTTTAGCCTCCCTAAATTGCTCTATACTCCAGCACTCATGCCTCGATTGACAACTCGCGGTCTTATCAAAAAAACCCAAAGAAAAAAGCGTTCAACAGCCTGTGCTGTCCACATGGTTATCCCAGCGTAATAATTTAACCTATGTTAACGAAATCATTTTAGCTGTTTGGTAAAATCAGCTGAACTGTTTTAAAAATTTCTACCAAGGTTTAAAATTTCAATATGATATATTTAATATGGGGAATATCCTATGTATCTTTGAAAACAGATAAAGGATATGCATGAAAATTGGACACTTCGTCTTTTTTCATGTGTATTGGACCCATATCGGGGGCGTATCGAGGTGTATCGATAGCGTATTGACAAAAACAATACGATTAAAAACTAAAAACAAATTAAATGAGAAAAGCAAGCTTCTTTTCCCCGAAATAAACTTCCATTCACCCCCAAATGATTCTAAAACTCCAAACTTCATTCCTAAAGTGTTTGATTTGCAAAATTTTGCAAGAAACAAGTGTGAATCGTTAATTTTTTTTAAAAAATCAAATTTTGAAAAAAATATGGCCAAAATAGGTTGCTTTTTTCAATCTTTTATAATATCTTGTGATTTTTTTTTCTTGAATGTTTAAATTTATGTTGATCTGCATTTCTTACATTCAAAATCACATTTTTTTTTTGTGTTATCAGTAGATTTATGGAAATTTCATGAAGATATTTGGGGAAATATGAATTAACAAAAAAATTAAAAATGCAAATTCTTTTCTACCTATAAAGACTAAATATTTTTAGATCTATGGATTTATCTATCATATCCATAGAGCAATTGAAATTTCTTTTTTAATTTTTTTTTATATTTTTATAATTAAAAAATAAATAATAATTAATTATATTTTATCATTTGATCACAATAATTGAATATATTATAACTTTATGGATGATCTATCATATCCATAAACCAATTGAAATTTCTTCTTTAATAACTATTTTTTGAATATATTATATAATATTTATTTGTTTTTTATAATTTTTGGAAATGAATAATAAATAATTATTAATTATATTTTCACATAGAAGTTGTGTCAATGCATGTTTTATGGTTGGATAGGAGAATTAGGTTTTTGTCATCCCATAAAACATTAAAACTTAAGAATTATAATTTATAAATTATAATTAAGCATAGGATTTTTAATAAAATTATAATTAGCTATAATATATTTCTTCATAAAACCATTAAAATATATTAATTTAATGTACATACACCTCAATAAGGTCTTATATTTAGTGTTTTTGATGTATTTTAATGATTTACTAAAATATTTATAGCATTTTCAAATATATCTATACATATTTTAGTTTTTCTCCAATACACATGCCTATTCAATCATATCCTTATACATCTCTTAAAATTGCCTTTCCCATGCACTTGACTTCTACACGTAAACTTTGGCTAATTCAATTCTCATTTGTCTTTTCAATCAAAAAATATTAAGTATAAATATTATTTTGCCCTCATTCATACATGCTCTCAAAACAAAACAGCTCAACGCTGTTTTTTTACGAACAGTCAGCCCCGTACAACAGTAACGGCGCTAACTATATCAACTAACGTGTCAAGGAGAGAGAACCCTGTGGGCAGCACAGGCTGTCGAACATAATCAGTCAAAAGTTTTTGCTGTCAAGTTGCGTGCATGTTTGATTCGCTGCGCAGCCAGAAAACGGCTCAAAGACAAACGTTAGGACGAATCAAACGTCAACGGCTCCCGAAAGTATTTAACTTTGCTGGATGGCACATAACCGGAAAGATAGGCTCGGAGAATAGCTATTTCATTTCTGCAAATTGAAATACGAGCAGGTAAGTTTTTTTCTATTTCTATGATTATTTTTAATCTAATGAAGCTCTATTAAGTTTCTTTTCATGGGTTCTCTTCGTTCATCTTACCTCCGTCAGTGTCTCTAAATTTGAGCTGTTTTGCTGCAATTTCATCCAGTTTGTTTTGGGTCTTCATTTTATGGTACCTTGGTTTTTCTCTCTCTCTCTGAAGTAAGATAATGGATTGGAGGGAACAAACCTCTTCTTTGTGTCTCGAACTGTTGGCGCCTCTTTGAACTTCTGGAGAAATTTAGATTCAACGTTTCTAGTGATTTTTTGTATTTTGTTTTATCTGCTGCTTTCCATTCGTTGATGCATATTGTTCTGCTTGAACTTTATCTTGGGGATCAAACGTTTGCTGCAAATAACTATGAAATAAAATGAACATGGAGATGGATATCATGGTTTCTTTAATATTAATGTAACACAGAGTCAAGACTTGTACGATGGACCTGAAGGCTGTGAAAGAAAACTGGCCCCTTGTAGTTTGATTATGAGAGAAATCATATATGAAGAAAATTATGTTCTTCTTTGGAAACTTTGAAAGTGAACGTCTGTCTGGTCCTCAAACTCTTTCAAGCTGGTCTGTTCTGATTGACCATGTCAACTTTTTAGATCATGGCTTGGTTCACTTGGGTTTAAAATGATCATTTGCATTGTTTTGAATGGGAAACAGAAGGCATGCAGAGCAGCAGATTACAAAAGCGCCAACTTTGTGCTATTTAAGTTTGGGATGCCAAATTAGTCTAACTTAATTTGGGATCATCACCTTTTGAAAGGCAGATTAATGCTGCTTTTGGTGTTAATTCTGTGATGATATGGTTGGAGTAGGTTAGAGATGCAGGGGTTTCAATTGTACGAGTACAAAATAAGAATACAAATACTGATGATGGATTTGTGAACTGTCAACCAGAGGAGGACTACAAGCAATTTTCAAGCTTCCCTTCCAAGCTATGTAAGCAAAAATGACTTCAACAAGGTGTCAGATACAGAATTTGCACTAAAATTTGAGTATCCGATAGGACATGCAACCCATTCTGACATATCGAAGTTACATAGACTCCAAAGTAGAATTTCCTTCACTTTCTCTTCTTTTGGCTGCCCTGTTTACCGTGCAGATATGTTGCTCAGCCATTGACCATTTTGATGTTCATGCAGACAAGCATTTGCCCAAGGACATGGGACCAAAGACTTTTTTCCTCTTAGAGATTGTTTTAAATTGAGTTCAATTGATGGGGCAGTTTAGTCCAAGTTGGATATATGAAATAAGAGAATCAGGGGATGTTTGAAAACTTCAAGATGTAGGGGGAAAAAGACTATTCTAGTGAAAAACCATTACCAAGGTTATTCCGGTGAAAGCAACATGAAATTTCCAAACATAGATAATAGCTTAATAAAAACAGGAACAAGTTAAATGAGGACTATGTACAACATTCTTTCAATTGTCAATGGTAACTTACCATCTCCTCCCCCCTTTTTGCCTTGCAATGAAAGTTATCTTTTATCAAGAAAAAAATGGTATTTTCCATTTTGATTTTATTTGGCAATGGTTCAGATTGAGAGCTGATTAACATAATGAAGATGCATACAATTGAACATGGATGGGAAGGTGCTTTACTTCATAGAATTCCAACCATGTCTTACTATTCTTGTAACTTCACAATCCCTCATAAAAGAGTGAACAGGACCACAAAACTAAAGTTTGTAAAATGATGGAAATACCCTTAGACATAGCATAACACTTTTAAAACAAAAATACCCTCAACACTACTAACATAATCAATGAACAAAAACTTTGGCTTATACCTACAAGTCAAACCATTTTCTTTATAGTTTTAAAATGTATTCTCATTTTCATCATATTACAATCTTTCTATCACAAGTTGGTCATTTCATTTCCCCAATCACATATCTTTATATAGGTACTCAAAAAGGAACCCTTTTGCATTATTTTGTATATTCATTCTAACACATGTCAATTTTTAATAATCCTTGAAGATGATTATATATTGAAGGTGATCCATAAGGTCTATTAGATATAGTTGTAGCATTAACTCTTCCTTATATGGTACTTTTTACAGGATTATTCTCGAAATAAGTTAGTATACCTATAGATATGGGGAACAAAGAATCATCGGATTACTCTTCACATGATGAAATACCATGGAGCCCAGTTTATGCAGGGAGTTCAGAGGATCCTTACTATAGGAATGCACCGCAGTCCTCATACAAGGACCCTTACTGTGGGAATGCACCACAAGCCTCATATATTCCTGATAATTTTAGCTCTCTAGACCAGGTGCTTATCATGACCAGGTGCTTATGGACTATTTAAAGTTTGTAATCATTGTTAATATTGATGTTAGAGGTGTCCAATCATTCTTTTATCTTTACTGGTCCATCAAAAAATTTGGAATCATAAATCATTCAAAAGAAAGAGAACAACACAGGGTGAGGAAAAATAAGAAATCATAAAGCAAACATCAATAGAAAACTATGTTATAACCCCAACCTTTAAAGACTAGTTCATATATCAATGGTATTTCCTTTCCAAATTGTATTTGAAAGTTTTTGTTTTCAAAATATGCCTGCATTTAGCAGAAGTTAAAGAGTATGTTAGTTTATCAAAGACTCCTATTATTTATTCAGGTTTAGAATCATATTAAATACACTTGCTTTTACGACACAGATATTGATAAATAAGAATTCAAAAGGCAAACATCAATAGAAAACTATGTTAACATCCCAACCTTCAAGGAATAATTCATATAAAGCTGTCAATGGTATTTCCTTCTAGTGATCTGATATAGTAGGGTTTTTGATTAATTCATGTTATTTGTTAGGTGTAGGAGGTTACACATCCCTTTTACTCATATCGAATAATCAACATTCTTTCAATAATTATATCAGTGTTTGTAAGTAATGGATAAGCAAATGGTATAAAATGAGGATCCAATCTAAAACGTAGGCTGCAATATACCCTGCATTTAGGGGTCATTACTTGGTTTAATGGTAAAAAAAAAAACTTTGGGCTGTCAAGCATGAGAACGCAAGTTTGAGTTTGAGAGCAGTCACCTTGTGCAAAAAAAAAAAAATGCCAAAGGTTAGGACTGTATCCAAGTCCACCCCTCCCAAGAGTCCAAGACCCCAGATAGCTGGGACCAACATTGGTAATGGACTAACCCTGTGATTTAATCCCTGTGTTCCATTCTGTCATTGGATACAGGAGGTAGAGAGCTGCAATAATATGTCAAATCCACAGTCCACACAAAGCTGGTAAATGGCTAATCGATAAGCTTATTAACCTTGTGAGCAAACCCTGAGAGAGGACCCCATAGAAACCAATATGCCAAGAGGATTACTTAATGTCAAAAGTATCATCTCACCCCCCAAAGAATTTGTTTATATCAATTTGTAAACATATATTCAATTACATAAATGCTCATATTATGCAAAAATACAAGGATAATAAAAGAACGATTCAGTGTTACAGATGCACAGCAACCAATCAAAAAATACAGTTATACAGCAATATGATACATCAAATACATAAAATACAAATAAAACCATTTACTCTGATCATATATTGGTTCACATAACATAAAGCGAGATTAATATCAGATCACTAAAAGAGGAACAAGCAACAAAGAACATGGAGAAAAACTGGTCTTTCCACCCTTTGAAATCCAGCATTTGTAGAGAAAACATTTACATCTTTAGTCATTTACTTTTATTTAGGGGCCATAAGGCCATTGCTTGGTTTAATGGTAGAATCTCAAGCTGACAAGCATGAGAACGTGGCTTCAAGCCCGAGTTCAACAACTTTGTGCAAAAAAAAAAGGGCCAAAAATTAGGTCCCTGTCCAGTCCACCCCAAAACACCAAAATTTGGGTTGTCATTGGGTCAGATGCAGATCAATCCAGCCACATCTGAATCTCATCCGATTGATGAACATTGAAATCCAAATCTTATCAGGTCTAAGGATCTCAGATCAGATTTGGATTTAATCCGAGTCTTCTTTATATTTATCAAAAATAAAGAATAAACTAAATAATTGAGCAATGCTAATTACTTTTTAATTTATAATAAATTTATATAAATATGAAATATTGAATTTATTATTATAAATATTACTTATTATAAAATGTAATCAGATTGGATGGGGTTAAATCTACATCCAGTCTGGTTATGTAAATGGATCATTGGAATACGAAATAATCTGATGTTGGATTGGGTTTCAGACTTTCAGAGTCCATTGACAGCGCTAATTCAATTAACTCTTCTGGAAAGTTCATTTCTCTTAATGTTAGCTTCCAGATTTTCATTATGTTCTATTATGCTGCATGTGGTAATTGTGCTTCAGATTACAAGAACAAAAACTGATGTGATACTTGTATTTCCCAGGTTATTTCTGCATTAAGAGAAGCTGGTCTTGAATCATCCAACTTAATCCTTGGTATTGACTTTACAAAGAGCAATGAATGGACAGGTAATATGTGACACATTTGCTTTTGTTCTACACTAATATTGTTGTTCATTATTAAATCTCCTTACTTATGAAAAACCTTCAACGGTTGTAGGTAAGCATTCATTCAACAGGAAAAGTCTCCATGCAATCGGTGACACCCCCAACCCATATGAGCAAGCTATATCTATAATAGGGCGTACATTGTCTTCATTCGATGACGACAATTTGATACCCTGTTTTGGATTTGGTGATGGTTAGTTTTCTTTTATAATTGAACTTAACTAAGAACACATTATGATTTTTCATAGAGATGGTTATCTAATTATTTTTTCCCTTTGCAGCATCAACACATGATCAATATGTTTTTAGATTCTTCTCTGATCATCAATATTGTAATGGTTTCGAGGAGGCTCTTGCACGATATAGAGAGATTGTTCCTCACCTAAGATTGTCAGGTTTGTAATATTGTCCTCCATTTTTTCTTTGTGCTCCCTATCTTTGAAACTTCATTCTAGAAGCTGAATGCATCTAAAGATATAACAATGATAAAATATGGGCATTGCTCTTGGTGACTATATTTGGACCTGTATTTTTCTTCTTTTTTTCCTTTCATGTTTTCTAATTTGAGGTAGCATGATCGTGGCATGGGAATTCTTATCTGCTAATATGTACTAATATGTACATTCCAACATTCCTGGCTGGTTTCATGCAATGCAAAGCTTGAATATGAGAAGACAAAAGAAATGGTCACCCCTTGTTATTTAACTTAAAATGACCAGACAAATTGACAATGCAAACAATTACAAAAGGCCATTAGAGAAATATCCAAGTGAGGCTTCAGTTCATCTGTTATAGAGATGCCAAATAATTTGCAGCTTTATTAACTGTATGCAAAAGCAATAATATGCATTGCCTTTACATCAATATTTACTAAATATTTGGTCAAATCCTACAATAGACTCTAATGTCAAACTTTGACCTGCAAATGAAGAAACATGCGTTGTGATCTCGCTAAAATAACTGAGATATCCATGTTTTGGTTTCTATGTTTAGATGGGTTTGATCAAATCCATACAAGTAATAGATGACCAAGAGGAGTTTTTCTTTGTTTACTTGATAGTATATCTCATGACATAAAACATCATATATAGAGTATTTTGTAGTTGACCAGAAAACAGGATCATTAAAAGTTTTGTTTAATTTTCATACATTCAACTAAATCTGGCTACAAGAATAACAGCGGTTCATTATAAAAATTTGAGTAAATCTTCTAGTTGTTTAATTGTTTTTCTTTTTTCCCTTAATTTTAATGGGTCTGTATTTGTTTGCATACTTTCGTTTTAAGAAAATGTGCAGAAGATAGTTTGAATTAAAATTTACAAGTCAACCGTCAACTTACTAACATCCACTCAAATGAGTTCTTTTATTAAACAATTTCTATTGTTAAAATGAACTGGATTTCAAAAGCACTTCGGTAAAACTGACCTCTCTTTCGTTAAACAGAATGCTAACTTTATCTAACTAATGTCTGAACCAAAATTAATGAAGCTTTACAAGAAAGTACCAGACTCTTGAGCAAGTTAAACCATGGAGTCCAGTGATCAAACATCTAACTTTGATCATTGACCACATGTCAATAGTCCATGGAATCCAGCAACTTTACTGTGGCATGATGAAGGCCTACCCGAATTTCAGCTCAATCCAGTGACTGGATTGGGAGAAATGGGCCTCAAAATTTCTGCTCAGAAGTTGGACCATTTCTTTGAACGGTCCTCTCTTCTAACTTCCTTTTAATTTTCTTCTTTTGGGATTTAGTTCTGAATCCATCTGCATTTAAAACAAAAATACCAGCACAAGCCAGATCAAAATGTGTTGAAGTAGACCTTGCCACATGAACCAAACCAAACAAGAGTAAGACCAGGACCCAAAACACCAAGACATTGTCTCCTCGGTGTGTTGAAGTAGACTTACAGTAGTTTAAGAATAGATTAGCGGCCGGTAGCTAGCCACCCGAGATGACATGGCATAATTCTAGAAAACCCTCTTTATAAATATGATATATAGAGTACAAATAAAATGAGCGTAAGGGATCTGAGGGGGATCCAAGAGACCCAACTCATTCTCTCTCTCTCTATCCCTCGCTCACTAACTTTCTATTTTCCTCCACCTCCTCTTCTCTCTCTCCTCCACTGAACTTCAACTTCTAGGATTACAAAACTGGAGAACTACAGTGGTCTGATTCCTCACTGTAAGGTACATAGTGCAGCCCCTCCAATCCAACCTATTTCCTCCCCCCCCACCCCTTTTGGTTCACTCATCATCACCGCTTCCTCGGATTTTCAGAGAACCCTGACCACTGCCACTCCATGTTCTCAACAGTGACTCAGTGAGGACCGGATTCAATCCCAAAATGGTAGGAACAAAAAACACCAACTTTACCAGATGAGCTAGTTGGCACCCTTGCAAGACCTTAATATTTCAGCCAATCATATGAATATGTGAATCATATCACTTGATATTTTGCATATGAAGGTTACCTTATGGTACAAAACTTCATGCTATCCTCAATGCTTACATGCTTTGCAGTCCATTGCAGGTGAATTTCACTTTTGGATCCCAAAAGATGCATGTAGTGATACAATTGTGATTATTTTCTTATCAAGTAATTTAATGTGCAGGACCAACCTCATTTGCACCAATCATTGACGCATCAATAGATATTGTGGAAAGAAGTAATTGGCAATATCATGTCCTTGTCATTATTGCTGATGGACAGGTTTGTAGATCCCTCTATGTCATGAAAATTCTTTAAGTCTACAAATTGTTAATAAAATGTCCTCTTTTTTACATTGTACACAGGTTACGAGGAGTCCTGATATACCACCTGGAAGATTTAGTCCACAAGAACAAGCAACTATCAATTCTATTGTTGCTGCTAGGTAATGCATTCTCGTTAGGGCTGTTCATGGGACCAATCAAACTGACCAAACCAACTAACCCGATCCAACCTGACCCGAGCTGATCAGTTTTCAAGCATTTCCAGTCAGTTTCGGTTCCTAAAATAGGATAACCCAAGAGATCAGGTCGAAGTCCAGCTATGTTTAGATAATAATTATTGACTAAAATAGCTATTGCCTTTTAATGCAATGGAAGAAGTGGAAACGTCTTTCACGTCTCCTATAGCTCATGGCCCGTAAGTTGTGTCTCTCTCTCATGCCTCATGTCCCAAGTCCATATTCCCAATATCCCATTAATCCATTATAGTATTTTGACAATGTACTTTCCTACCTTTTCCTAGTTTCCAAAATAGAGTGATACAACTTTTGATGCTCTAGTCTAGAGACCAGAGTCTACTCCTTTCCAAGTCTCTAACGTGAACAAGGAATCCAAAAGACAACTCAAAAAAAGAAAAAGAACTCTCTATTTTCTAATCTCCTTTGTCTTGTAGTCTATTCCAATATTTCTCTTATCAGTTATCTCTTCATCCTCCAAGAGGAACCACACTTGCAGAATTATTCCGGATTTCTAATCGTGCAAGTATAAAACCTATAAGTTCAAGGCTGGGCTACAAGCATTCAAGAGTTCATACCTGGTCTGAAGTCTCTAATCTCTATTCATATATTTATGTGTTTTTCTGTTTTTTTTTATTATTTTTGCTTCCTCTAATCTCTGTTGTCTATTGATTTGAATAAGTTTAAAAGAAAACTTGTTAAACAAGAGAACTCTCCTTATGTTTCTATTCTTGATTAGATGCCTTGTCAAGGATGAAAGAGCTCCCCTTTATGTTTCTATTGTTGTCTTTGCCTAACAAGCAAAAAGTATATCTGAGATATGTCTGAATTTTCTTTTATGGTGAGGGAAGATGGCTATGGCTGACCACCTGACCAAACCGAACCAAAAACTGATTCATCATGTTTGGGTTGGTTTTGGGTGGTGTAATCTTCAACCCAAGCAGGTTGGTTCGGTTGAGTAGATTTCATGTAACCAAATCGAACTGGCCCGTGTACAGCCCTAATTCTGATTTGGTCAAATTGCATCAAAAACTATTTTCTTTTTCCTGACACATGAATTTGAAACAGCCACTATCCTCTGTCAATTATTTTGGTTGGAGTTGGTGATGGACCATGGGATGCAATGCAACAATTTGATGATAACATTCCTCACAGGGCATTTGATAACTTCCAGGTGCTTATATTATGATAGCAATAAATTCAATATATATTTTCAAGTAAGACCTGACTTGCATATTACTATTCAAGAGCTTTTGCATCTTTTATTCATAAACTTCATTGTATTACCCAGTCCAGTTATCTACTTTTTGAAGTGTGAGTTTCTCTATTCTATTTACCAGTTTAGCATGTACATGTATCTTTCATTTTTTTATTATAAATAAAATAATATTTTATTTAGAGAAACAAAAAAAGGTTACAAAGCAAAGGATAGAACGTTGACATAGCACAAAAATCCCAAATTTTAACATATGCAAAGAAAATACATAAAAGGAAATTGTGTTGATTTCATGCATTTATCTTTCCCATCTATCATTCTCTATTATTAGTGTCAACCATAATTTGGTTTCTTGTTCTGCATAGATGGTTTCCATACAGGATCTCTTTACATTGCTTTTGTGTTAGAATGTATTGAAACTTAATGATAAAAGATGGAACATCCCAAACACTTGCAAGTGAAAAGAATAAATTATACGTAGGGGTGTAGGTTGCTGGTTGGATTGCCCAAATTAAAGAATTTCGGCTACATCAGGATTGATTCTGAGCTCAGTTTCATCAGAATTTCAGCCAATGTTTTCATTTTTGAAACCCTGTAACTTAAAGGATAGTTTTTATAGAAAATTTTCTAAATAATGTCATATAGACAAAGAAGAAAGGTTGACATAAGGGCATTGACTTCTGTCTAAAACTAGGATAGAGACATATTAGTGTCGTTAACCCCAGAGGGAGGTTCTGTATTTGCCACAGGGATTTGTTGGTAAAGTAGCACCATAGTACTCACTTATTGGTGCAAAACATGGACACATTACATGAAAGCAGAATGCTACCTTTTCAAGGAAAGACACCACCACCACCATCATTTTCATTATCCTGCCTTGTTCTGCAGCATCAATACTTTTCCTCCATTCCTCTCTAAGGACATATCTTCTGATTAATATCTACCTAAAGAATCTGTTTTCAATATCTAAACCAGGTTGTTATTGGTTTTCTCCTTGGTCTCTTAGATAGTTCAACTCATTGAGTCATCTCATTTTATAATTTAACATGGGCAAACCATGTCAATCTACATTAATCACCATTTTGCTTTATAAGCATGGATTATCTTATAATTGTCCAATTAATTTCCTATGCAGTTTGTTAATTTCACGAAGATCATGTCTGAGAACAAGGATATGTCAAAGAAAGAAACCGATTTTGCACTTGCTGCACTCATGGAAATTCCATTTCAGTACAGAGCCACACAACACCTAAAGATTATGGAGTAAGGCTAGAAACACTATCTATATACCTGCTCAGTTTTTATCTGCAAGTTTCTAAGTTTTTGATTTGGAGATTGCTAAGCCCTAGCCTAATCCTGGTCATGCAGAGGTGAGAAATTAGGAATGCCTGATAAAAGACCCCTTCCTCCTCCACGGGAAGTGATTGATCATGATAATGCAGCAAAAACATACAGACACACAACAAGCTTCCAACCAGTTGAGGAGGCAACCCCCACAGAACAGGTAACTTTAGTTTCTCATGTTTAATTTATCATATAGCAACTTAATCTCTCTAAACATGATTTTGACCATATTTTGATGCATTTGTTCAAGGTTTGCCCTATATGCTTGACAAATCCAAAGAACATGGCGTTTGGATGTGGTCATCTGGTAAGCAATTCCCTAAGATCTTCTTATAGCATGTTAATGTCAAAATATAGTTAATTATATAGAATCATACATATGAGAATGCAAAATGTGCATATGGGAAACCATCTTATCACTCGCACCATATCCATGTGCTCACACACCTCTCATCGATCTAGGCCTTGAGTTAGATGGTTTAGCCATTAATCTTATCATTCCCCAAAAATGACTATGGCCAGAACATCCTACACATCCCATTTGCCACTATTTGGGTAGACCAAAGCTCTTAAAACGCTTTATGAAAGGGCCTATTTATTGAATTGAATAATTTGAGTTTTCCAGTTACCACATTTACTCTGATCTTTCCATGGCATGTCTTGGATAAACTGAGGTGAAATCTGCTAAAGAGCTGAGTGGGAAACAAAATGAGTGACAACTCCAAATCAGTTCAATTAACCAGTAATTGTGCGAAAGCATATGCAAGAAAAATAGACAATTGTACACTTGCATTTGTGATTATCCTGCCATCTAACACAATTGTACCATGTTCTTTAGACTTGCAAGGATTGTGGTGCAAGTTTGTCATCATGCCCCATTTGTCGTCAGCCAATAACAACACGCCTGAGATTGTATTCGTGAGAAGATGACTTCCTCACCTGGCTGGGAATTGTATTTTCTGGTTGCAGAAATGAAACAGAAGAACGAGTTCTAACATTCTTTATAAGTTCATATATCATTGAAAATTTGATATTCTGTGTAAATAATCCCTAGTTTTGTTCACTTTCGGTGTCAAATGTACTTGGCAAATGATCCTGGGTGTGACAGCAAGATCAAGGGTATCATATTTATTTATTACCCAAAAAAAGTGTATCATATGTGTATAAGTACCTGAATTCAACAGGATTTATAACTCTGGAATCTTTACATCAATGCCATAATGGTTATAATTTTTTTATTTAAATTGCTAAAAGATTGACCAAATTATGATGTATATTCTCCCACTTGGGAAGTAGGATTTAGGCTTAAGATTCAGCTTCTGGATATATGCTGGGAACCTCGTATCAATGATCAAGCACAAATTGGCAAGGTTGTTGATTATGAAATGAAGTTTGTCAGTCCTCAAATGACGTTTCTGAGATTTGGTATTTGTAATTTGGTATAAATTATAATGTTTCACCTTCACTGTAAGTCAAATTACTTCACCTCTGAAGGGACCGTTTTTCGCAAGCCTTCTTCTGAAAGATCCAATCAAATGCAAATCCTTCAAGTACCTACATCTACATGGCTACACCGAGTCGCAAATTTAGAAGAATACAGAAAATATGCAATTCTTATCTTCACTTGTTACCGGAGGGTTGTAACTTGTAACTGCATCAACGGAATAGAGCACCTTACTCCGAACTACCATGGTTTTCAAAACCGGACCGGACCAGACAGTCAGATTGGAAAAACCAGGAACCGGTAAGGCGATTGGTTCCGTTTACCCCAAAACCGTTATTTTTCCAAAAAATGTTGATTTGGTCAACAAACCATTGACCCGGGTGTTCAAACCAAAATGACCATTTGACCCAGGAACTGAACCCGACTGATTCATTGTCCGGTTCATTTTAAAATCCTTGTAAATTACTACTAGGAAAAATGGGACAGGTTTTTGGGTATACCGTGAATATTTCAGTTACTCGAGGTTTTTAAACCAGACCAGACAAAATGGATGCCCATTCTAACAAAAAAAATAAAAGATAAATAAATAAGAGACAAAATCATAGGACCGTCCAATCCAGTCTGGTTTTGAAAACCACAGTGTTACTGCCCCCAGCTCGCTCTATCCACGGGGTGGGGACAGATTTGGGATCTAGAAGCTGATACCAACCCGATTCATTGGCATCCCTAATAATTGTCAGTTGTACTTGTAACCTCCCCTCCCATTTTGTGAACTTAAGAAAATATTGCGTCCACAGCGTCCATGGAGATAATAAGGCACTTGAAACAAAGATTTAATCCAATGCAATTTGAATGTTTGGAAGAGCAAAGGAAGAGAAGGCTAAGGAAACAATAAATGTTGGATTTGGTAACGAGGCAAAGAAAAATAAAGAATATGGTTAATGAACTCGACCACACATAATTAATTAGTAGATAAAGCAGGTGTCATGTCATGTCCAATTGACACTACTACATCTTTCAATAAAAAGCATTACATTACAAGAAATAAAATCGAAGCTTAGGGACAGTTTCTCTTTCAACCATGTTCGGTTCGGATGCAGTCCACCTTGGCTCTGTGTAAGGTATCTCAAGTCAAAGCCCTTCTCTGAAATTTTATCCTGTAGAAGTTTCAAAATTAAGGTTAGAATAAAGTCGCTACTTCCTTTTGACGTGACAAGGGGCCCCATAGGGATGAAAAGGAGATGATGTGGCCAACACAGGAACCTTTACCGTCACAAGAGCTGTCACGTGGTAATATCAGGAACAGCAAGTCGGTTTTTGAACCTTATTGCTGTAAATTGAAACAAGCAGCAATGAGTCAACGTTCCCAAGCAAAACCAAGCTCAATGAGGAACCAACCAATCAGTGAAACAATGTCATAAGCGTCACTTCATTTTCCTCTGAAGTGAATCAAGGTTTTGAAGCTGTCAGTTCGAGACCCTTTACAAAAGAGCCAGATGATACCAAAAGAATGTGCATGGTACTCAACAGAATTGGCACAATTCTGAAGCATTCCACCAATGCTGGTCATCTCTGCTTCCAATATGTGCAGTTAGAAGGATCCTTGTTGAAATGCAAGTTAGGAAGGATTGCATCTTAGAAAATCATTACAGAAGAAAACAAGGGTATCATTTCCGGTAACTCTCAAAATTTCCAGCGATCTAACTGCAGCTTGGCTTCAGCCATGTCCTTCTGTGCCTTCTTCCGCCGATAAAATATTGGGCAATCACGACTGGGAGGAAAAAAGAAAGAAGAAATAACACCCATTACACAATCCAAAATACAGAAATCATTTGCAAAGGATTGGAGAACAAGGAAAACCTTGTACAGAGTACATCCTGGTGAAGAGAACCTTGGCACTCCTGGCATTGTGTCCACAGACTCCCAAACAGTATCTCAAGTTCCCGCACTGTATAATCATTCCACAAAACATTTTCACATGAGAAGAACTCAAGGTTCCAGCATTCTTGAATGTGATTTTGATTACACTTTACTAATTTAGGAGGTTGCAAGTGCTTACCATTAGCAACCGTTTTGCAATATAGCTCAGCTTCTCTTCCCTTGCAGTGTGAACAGAGAGTTTGATCTTCATTACTGTTTCAGAGAAAACAATGTCATAATTTTCATTATTATACCCTTAAACTGGATGTGCATAGAGCTTGAAGTGCATGAGTTGCTTCGTGGAAAAGAACATTCAACACCCTGCTTGTAGCAAATCAAATTGAGATGAACTAATCTCTGTAAATTAATCTAGAACAATGAAAATGCAAGTTTTCATGGCCAAAGCATCCTGCTTGTTTTACTTGCGTCTATTCCAAACTCAACAAAGCATTATCCCTTATATGGATTAAGCTGCTCAATCTCTTTCACCATTGCACTCTATCAAGGTTTATATCCATTGCACTTGTGCTTTTAAATGATAAAATCAGCACTCAAGGAGCAATTGTCTTGCTGTACTTTTGGGCTTTCAATGCAGAATTAGAAGGAAAATGAGCAGGACCAAATTGATAAAAAAAATGGATTCAGTCATCTACTGTTTGGAACGACTGAAAGCAAGAACTGATAGTGTATTAGTCCACTGAACTAACCATTATATAGCTCATAAACAGTGTTTTAAAAGGTGTGGGAGGAGTATGCCTAGAGGCGCGCCTCCAGGTGAGGTGCTCCCAAAACGCCCTGAGGCATATGCCAGAGGCACTGACACCTCTGAGGCATATGCTTCAGGTGCAAGAGGTGTATGCCTCGTGCGCTTTTTGCATGAGGCGTGCTAGAGGCGTACACCTCATGCACATCTTATATAAAAAGACAAAAAAAAAAAAGAAAAAAAGAAGAAAAAGGAAAGGAAAAGAAAGGGAAGGGAAGGGAAAGAAAAAGAAAGAAGAAAAAAAAAAGAGAAAATGAAAGGGAAGGGAAGGGAAGAAAAGATAAAGAGGAAAGAAAGTGGTTTGCCCCCCTTTCAACTAATGTTATGCATCTTTTTTCTTCTTAGTATAAAAGATTTTTATTAAAAATAAAGAAAAAATGAGATCCCCCCTTCCTCCTAACCTCCCTCCTCTTAAGGAGGCTTACAACTCCTTGTGTTCGGGAGGCTTACGCCTCTTGCATTCTGAACTATGCCTCACACCTCTAGGTAGTGGAACGCCTCGTGTCACGCCTCCGCGTTTTAAAACATTGCTCCTAAACATACAATAAAATAATTATAAAATAAAATGGAAATATACCTGATTAGAGCTTTGCATCCCAAGCAACTGAGCTGCTTCTTAGCAAATTTCATTATACCACTGTTTGAAGGAGTTGAAATGTAGACAGATCTTGTATGATTACCATGGAAGAGTTCCTTGCTCGCATTCTTTAGTATGGGATCAAATATCCTCAAAAGTGGCTGCCACATGAACATTACTAGAACAGCACAATGAAAGAGGGGAAAAAAAGCGAAGAAACAAGTAACAAGGTAAATTTCATACTAAAACTAACCTTGCTAATTTGGTTTTCAAGGTAATATTGGGGATCTATTGGTATGTTATTCTCTAGCACATATATGGGATCCTCTGACCTTTCATAAGCCTGTTTGTCATCAACTTTGATCAGCACAACATTTTAAAAGAGATCAATCACATCTTGAACAATATAATTACCTAAAAAATTACCTTTGCACCTTTAGCAGCTTTAATAATGACATATGGTACACGATCACCAACATCTGGAGCAGTTGCAGCATCTCGCTATTCATTACAACACCCATGGAAACAAAAAGAGGCAGTTAAGTAATGCATCCAAATGCAATAGAGCATGAGATTCCTTGAGCACATGAAGCATAATAAATGAATACTTCCCCAAGTTCTCTAGATCTAATAAATGCAAATATTTCTCAGACACAAATAATTGATACTTCAAGGTTTCAGTCAGTCAAGTGTGTCAGTTTTGTGAGTGATATGAAGCACAAAGAAACAAGTCACATGTCCATGCCAAATGGTCTAAAATGCCCTTATATGTATACAGATATATGGACATGCAGACTGGAAATGGTGAACGACTTTCCACTTCCTAACATACAGGGCATGGATATAGTAATATAGGTACAGGTATCCCATTTGATATTCTTATCATGCTGTAACTTTTTAAACCAGGTAACAAGTATAAATGCTTATATCTTGTCAAGTATAATTGAACTTCTAATGTAAGAGTTTTTATGGCATCATTGTTTATATCGCTTTGAATATTTTGTCTTAGCGCTACATAATTTAGCTGTCCATGCAGTATTCAGAGTTGTATCTATTGAGTCCAACACGCGTGCTAGTGCTATACATGTACATGTGTCTAAGCACCATGGCATTCATAAGATGTGGTTGATAAGTTTGAACATTCGACAAGCAAATCATATAATATAGACAGTAAACCAACCTTGCGCATTCGTTCAGCAAGTTCAACATGTGCTGCCTTCACTGCATAATCATCCCCTGTCTTTGTCAGGCCCTGTCATGTGGGATAATTTAGTTCAAGTTCAAGGTCATCAAGAATAACCTTTATAATATAATAATCAGTATTTAAGTTAGAAAGCCCCATGGTGACAGAAAAAGCACTCTTTAACATCCATACTTGATCTGAAAGATGTTTTCTCACCTTAGTTATAACTAGAAGCGACAAATCCATGCGGTTCATTAGAAGATCTGAAATGGTATTCTTGACATACTGGACTGCACCAGGAATATCCCGGTCAATTAAGATTTTGTGGAGACATTCATTCACCAGGTTTTTTACTAGGAGACAATTGTCCCTTCTAACTGTTTCAATGCCTGTCATTGATAATAAATAAGTTAAAAAACAAGGTTAGCAGAAAAGAAGCAAAGTATAATAAAGGAGATGGCATTCACCTTTAGTGTCCATCTTGTCAAATTTATCAGGATTTGTCCAAAATAGCCCAGCATATCTCTTCTTGCTAATAAGTAGATATGGATAGTAAACCTTTTCAAACTCTAGTTTGATGGGCTTCAGAAGAAATACATAAATTGACCTACCATTAGTCATGAAGATCAACAGAATATAATAAAAAGGCTTAAAACAAAGGTACATAAATGGCAGGAAGCAGAATTAGATTGACATTAAAACAAACAAAAGATTATTGATGTTTTTCTCGTATTTATAAAGTTCATTGATCATTAGAACCAACCAAAAGATCAATCAATCAAAATATGTGGAGGTTCATACAAAGCATCATAATTTCTGAATTTAAAATAGGCCTAAATAGCTGCAACAGTATACTCTCAATCTACAATTGCAGGACATTAAACATTACAAAGGCTCTATTCTACAACCAATGATTTGGTCATAAATGCAACTGACAAGAAACAAGTAAGAACCAAAACATAATTCCAATAAAATCAAACAAGAAAAACAAGGAACAGTGGAAAACTAAAACTCCATACAAACCTTAATGAAAGTGCCACTTATGTAGTCAGCAGCTTCTCTTCCCAACTGCATTGCTTCTTCTACGGTAGGCACACCAAATTGTACCATAACTGAATCAGTGTCACCATAAATAACCTGATGCCATAAAGTAATTACTTCCAATCAGAGAATAAAAATCAAGAACCAAAACTTCCAATGCTACTGACATGTCAAAGCACTTTAAAGGACATACGAAACATCCTAATCAAAGGCACCAAGTGATGCAAAGATAGCAAATTTAATTTCTTTTATTACACTCAACCTAAAGGCATTTAAAATTTGGGAAAAAATTATTTAAGGTCTTATTTAGATTTGAGGCCATCAACTGTCCAAAAATCACCCTACAGATAAGCTGCTCAAAGATAGTCTCTTGCCCATGCAGCAATCCTCATGGAAGTGCCTGAAAATAGTTTAACCCAAGGAAACCATTGTTCTATCTAATAATAGTTAGTGTTATTAAAACTGCCAAAAGAAATCCATCCGATCTAAGTATTGACACATGGGGGTATTTGGGTAATTTTACTGTTTTTGATTCAGTAATTATTCTCATTAATGGGGCATTACTGTTTTCTTTTTTTTTGGAAAGGTAACATAAAATTGTGTTGATATTATCAAAAAGTAGACTAATATGAAAGTTCACTGTACATAAAGCAAAGTATCTGTACAAATGAACTCCTTTAAGGCCTCCCAAAAAAGTCAACAGCCAAAAAGAACTAGACAAAGGTTCGGCCTTTTTTTATCAGTAGAAAGTGATTTTATTAAAATTTGGAATGAAGAAATGATCAGGACAACTTTTTAGCCCACTTCGCTACTCCAGATTACAAAGATGCCCAAAACAGTTCTTGCCTCATAGCACTTGTTTAGCTAGGGTGTCAGCTAAACCACTTGCACTCCTAACCCATTTAAATTCAGCCACTATTTCTTTTGCAATTGCTTCCACTTCCTTTAGAATGTGCTTTAGGGACCAAGGAATACCCCTATTGGAATTAGCCCAGGAAATTACTACTTGTGAGTCTCTTTACACGTCAATCATCCTAAATCCAAACTGCTTAGCTAATCTGAGGCCTTGAAATAAAGCCATTAGTTCTGCCTTCAAAGAATTTCCGAAGCCAATTGGTCCTGAGAAAGAGCTCCTATCAAAGTTCAGTTTTACTTTGTTGGTTTCCACTTCATCCTGATTCTGTCCTTTGATAGGAGCTATTGTGACTAAATATTCTATATATACAAATAGCACAAGCAGCATTCTTCATTCTCCACACCTCAGCACCTAGGCAACACCAACAAAAGCTTTTACCAGACACTTACCTGGACCACGATGCAGCTATAAGTCCTCAAACTTTGCCTGGAAACTTGTTACCCTTTTGGCTCCCTGAGTGGCATATGTTTTACCAACAAAAGACCATTCTACTGAAGCATCAATGGATTTTTAAATGAATTTTCCATGAAATGCAGCCCTGACCAATTACATACCTGGATTGACTAGAAAACTCGTGCACATGCATTTCAACCCAAGGTTGCTGCATCTAGTTTTTATATATCCTTCCCCTTTTCAGTGTGATGTCCTACCTAGCCTTGTTTGTGAAACAAAAGAAATGCTGATATACCAAGTAAAAATAAAACTACAATAGCACACCTCAGCATTATGTTTGTAGCCCCCAAGTGTTGTGAATTTCTCCTCAACAAGCTTCTTTGTGTGTTCAATCATTTGTCGGCCTTTGCAAAAAGAAAGTCAAGATAATAAAATCAATTAGAAACCAAGTTAAGAAAGCTTTATATTGACCAACAGGGAGAAGGAAAAAAAGTGACAGTATGAAAGTTAATCAAACTACCGTAGCTAGTCACACTAGATGATATCTCAAGACAGGGTAACTGGCCAACAGTAGCTCCTGTAAACCCATATACAGAATTGGCGCTTACCTGACAAAACAGTAGAGAACCCAATGATCTTAAAATTTTGGAAGGGGAAATATACAATTCTCTTCCATTCAAGACCAATATGCAGAATCCGCACTTACCGGATAAAAAGCCTAAAATGCTGGGAAAACACAGACAAGCATGTGCACAAGGGCATAAAAACAATAACAAATTTAAAGTCACAAGCATTACCTTCAGAGCCAGCTGGCGACCATCAAGCACAGCCTTTTCAAAGGGATCCTTTGCTTCCTATAGCAGAATAAACTTATGATTAGTGAAAGTAGGTGTTGCATAATTAGCTTTACCACAAGGCTTATCATTAATGACAATTGATAACTATAAACCATGCTCCGTACGATCTAGAAACACGTCAAAATCTAATTAGCATTTTATAGACACACTTGAGAAAATTGAAAAGCCAAAAAGAGAAACAAAGTCACCTTTAGATCCGCTTTTGCTCTTTTACGAGCAGCCAAAAGTTCCTCAAGAATTTCTGGAAGTATGCCCTGAAAGTAAACTACAACATTAATCAAGAGAACAAGGCTAACTTCATCTCAAAGATGGTCTATCTTTATAGATAGAAAATGTTGGAAAGCAAAATAAATGGCAAAATTTTAACCTTTTGTAAATTTGATTTGACAAAAATTTCACCAGATGGAGTTTTAGTGACACATTCTGGAGGTAAATTGAGTTTGCGGGCATCTTCAGGCATTACCTTCACAAAAACCAAAATCCACAACAGCATTCAATACAAATTTGCAAATAAAAGCATTCTGTGATGAAGAAAAATCATGGTCATGACTAAGAATGTTTTACCAGAGTGCAGTAACATAGATTGTATGCCATCATGATTGATGGATACAGAGATGCAAAATCCAATGTTGCAATGGGCTTCTCATAGAACCCTGCCTTAGCCTCCAAAACCTGCATATGCACAATTCCCTATGTCACAACAATAAATAAATAAAAGCTCCCTGTTTAAGGCAGTTCTTTCACTAAATAAAGGCAAGATGTAGAGAATTATCCAGAAGTTGATGGTGAATGGAGAATTAGTGGAAGACACAGAAAAGTTAAAGAAAGATGTCAAAAGTTTCTACATAAGTCTGACCTTGAATGGGATGCAATTTGTCAGGTTGCCAGAAACCAAAAAAATTGGAGCTAGAAAAACCTTTTGAGGAAGTAGTGTGGAGAGTAATTGGGCAATTTGAAGGAGAAAAAGTGCCGTGCAGTGGTGGATTCACAATAGCTTCTTACAAAAGAAGCCTGATGTAGTGAAGAACAAGGTTTTAAAAATCAACCCGGAAACGGAACCGCTTTAGCCTCCGATTTCCAGGCCAGCGGTTTAACCATCCTATTCGAACGGTTTGATCTGTGACTTTATAATAATAATAATAATAATAATAATAATAATAATATATAAAATATTTAGAATAACAGCTTCCTTTATACGCTTCAGAGGTTAAAAGTGTTAAACTAATTCAATGTCGATACTGCAGTTGTTGGTACAGATTCGGTCAAATTTCAATTTTCAAAGACCTGGGTTCTTGAAGCATCAATGGATACTGTGGATTACCTATTTATCTCTTGTCATTTCAGCACCCAGGTTGGGGGTTTATTTCTTACAGTGGTCAAAGCTCAAGTTTAAAATCAGTAAAAGAGTTGATTTCTAGCTGGCATACCAAAGGCCTAGGCACAAGGAGACAATTTTCTTTGCAAGATAATACCTCTAGTGATTATAAGGGAAAATCTGGAGGGAAAGGAACGAACACAAAAGTTTTTGACAACAAAGCAACCTACAATGACAGAAGCTGTAAGAAGGCTGAGGCGCAACTATACACATGGATATGAGCAAGGAAGAGTTCAGAAGCATTCCATTCTCTATTTTCTCAAGAAGAAATTCTTTTATATGGGTTGAATATTCTGTAGATGAAATACAATGAAAAAGAGGGACTGCTCTCTTTTTTTTCACTAAAGTTGTCACTGTACAGTGAGATATTGTTTATTTTTGCAAGAAGGGTTTCCTTTCATTCTTACATTTCTATTTTTTTCGTCTCAAAATTTCCTTCTGTTGTATAGAGTATAGACTATAGCAATGTTTTAAAAGGTGAGGCATGCGCCGGGAGTTGTGCCTCAAGCAAGGTGCCTCCAAAATGGCATGAGTTGTATGCCAGTGGCACTGACGCCTCTGAGGCTTATGCCTCAGGTGCATGAGGCATGCTAGAGGCATACACCTCATGTGCCTCATGCACGCTTCATACAAAAAATACAGAAAGAAAAGAAAGGAAAGGAAAAGAAAGGGAAGGGAAAGAAAAAGAAAGAAAGAACGAGAAGAAAAGGCAAGGGAAGGGAAGGAAAAGAAAGTTTGGATCAGGGGGTTCAACAAGACACCCCCCCCCACACACACACACCTTTCAGCTAGTGCTATGCATCTTCATTCTTCTTAATACAAGACATTTTCATAAAAAACAAACAAGAAAAAATGAGATCCACCTTCCTCCTCCCCCTCCTCTTAAGGAGGCTTACACCTTGTGCTTGGGAGGCTTATGCCTCTTACATTCTGAACTACACCTCATGCCTCCAGGTAGTGGAACACCTTGTGTCATGCCTCCGTGTTTTAAAACATTGGACTATAGTCCAATGTGCTTGGATACTCTCTTATGCCTGTGTCTAGATACTTAGAAAGATCGTCAAAGATGACTTCTTTTTAGAAGAAACCCATAGAGAAAAGAACATGAGAAATATAAAGACCATTGGAAGTAGTAGAGAAAATCAGTGGGTTGCACATTAATCTCTCTAAATGTAGTCTGGCAGACATAGGTTTAGTGCAGGAGGTATTAGAGTGTGCTAGGATTCTGTGTATTTAGGTAATAAATTACAAAAACTGTATCTAAATTTTGCTCATATATTAATGTTTTCAAATCAACTCAACTCAACAAAGTCTTTTCCCAATTATAGGGGTTCATTACATGAATCTAGTTTCATCATTCAGCCCCATCCAGTGCCAAATTCATTGTTAAATCATGGGCCCTCAAATCATTTCTCATACTTCAGTCTCTGTCCTTTTTGTCCTGCCCCTAGATCTTTCTAGATCCTTTAGCTTACAAGAGGTCACTTCTCATTTCTGCTGTAAATAGTCTTTTCTATCTATGATATCTGGATACATGTACAATAGTATTGTATAATGTTGATACTTCAATTGTTAGTGTAAATTCCATATCTAATACCATGTCAGCATGTCCAGTCATGTCCTTGACATACTTGGGTAACAGAGTTACTTTTTATCATTTATGAGGGTTATTTCTAGATTCCTACGAATATGCACATCTCTGATCCCATCTTTCCTATTTTCTCATCCATCCATCACATGTAGGTATATCTCAGTATCTGATCCTAGTTGTATCCTGATTACCACCCCTAATTTTGACACCCCCCCCCCTTGATATAAAAATTAATATATCAGACTCATTTATCAACATAAAGTTTCTTAAAAGCTTGCAGAATAGAAATTTCTTTTTTAGCAGCACTTACAGTTGTACCCTGTTCTTTTTTTGTCATACAAAATCATGTCAGTAATTTAGTAAGTCAAATCTATAAGCATTATAACATACAGTTGCACCCTCATAAGTTCCTTGGTCAGAACCCTGCCGTTTGACATTTGGAATTACAAGGCTTTTCTGTTTTGCCTTTCTAAGAAGTTGTGAAAGAACCTGAAATCAATGGCAAGAACCTCAGTAAATCCAATACTCTAAGATTTACTAACAGAATAATCAATCAAACATGATTTTTTACCTTAATACTTTGCCCTCTTGAAAGCAAAAAAGAGATGGGAACACCTGTGACCCGAGCCATCTCTACATAATTGTAAATGAACATCAGTTTGTCCAAAAGTCGTTGTGGAAGATAAGCATCCTGCAGTTCAAGGGAAAAGGATAATGCAACAATATTAAGTGATCCAATTCATCAAAAAAACATATTAAGTGATCCACTAGTGTTGCTCTCTCATCATATAGTACTTTTCAATGAACCTGGAGCATGCCCATCTAGTTATCAATTCATGAGTGCCTGTGTAGGACTCTATTCAAATTCTACGTTGTCCCAATTTAACCAGGTAAAGAATAGATGAAATGTCAGATGACATGCATGTATATGTTTGTGTGAGAGTGAATGCACATATTCCATGCTGTATACAACTAGCCACACAAGCAAGCCTGGCAAGAAATAGAAGAGAATCCTAAAATAATAGGCTGAGCATCCATGAACAAGGAGAAAGAACCAGAAAGAACAATTAATACTATGCCGAGGTATGCATATTCTTTGTATGTAGGGGCTTTTTGTATTTTTATATGGAATCTGACTTCCCAGTTCCTAGGATGGCATGTTGTCAAGATATTACTCTTTATTTCTTCCTTTTCTCAGTATTGTCTCTTTTTCCAGTAAAGAAATACAGTTTGAAGATAACCATCAAAAAAATAACAGTTCGAAAATACTTTCAGTAAAAGAATAATTGATCAATTAAAGCTAACTGTGCATGCAATTTTGTCAACCACAAGACAATGCAAGGGCCTGAAAGGAAGATTATGTCAAAATAGGTAACAAATGCACCTTCAGGCAATAGACAGCAAGCCGCCTCCTAGTCTCTGAGTTTCCATTCTGAAGATCAGATATTATTGAATGATGGACATCTTCTTTCTGCCTCAAAAATAAATTTTATCAGCAACAAAAACATCCGATCCATGCAAGAATAAGAGTTACTAGAAACAGAAGTCAAATGGTTAAGTGATTATTTTGCTGGATAAGCATAGGCTAAATGTACATGATGATAAGTTTTTTTTTTTTTTTGATGAATTAAATGTACATGATAAGTCAAACCACAAGAATAAGGATGTCAAAAAGAACACAAGAAAAAAATATTTACATTTAAACCCACTATATTGTATTACATCCATGAAAATTTCATTTCATGCGCAACACTTAATTTCATCCTATGTTATCAAACTTGAATTGGATCATAAAATCTCAATTATAAATCATAGATTCGTAAACCATAACTGATAAATTCACATTATTAGGCGAAATTTGAATGATTAGGAAGTGGAGTCAGTGGTGAAGTTGTTGAATAAACTATATAGTACTCAAGTAGACATACAGAGAGAGGATACAAGAAGGAACTTGGAAGTGGATGAAATCGAGGGAATTATCTGTCAAATCTTTTTACAACCACATCTCTGAGTCAGAGGGAGAGCCCATCCCAGTCAACATTGTGTGGTGTAAGAGTGCCTACAAAAGTAGCATTTTTTCATGTGGACTGCCTATCTGAACAGGATTTTAACAAGGGATAATTTGGTGAGGAAAGGTATGCTGCTGGACTCCACCATATGTGTTCTTTGTTAGGAGAATAAGAATCAGTCAATCATATGTTGCCACCCTGAATCAGTGGTGGACTTTGTGAAGAGATGGAGAGTCAAACATCTCACAAAAAAAGGGAAAACTGGCATGGAATTTGGCTCCTGCTGCAATTTTTTGGTGCATTTGGCAGGAGGGAAATGCAAGGATTTTTCAAGAATCAACATAGCTCTACAGACAATATTTCAAAAATCTTTGGGAAAAATGTTCTACTGGCTGGAAGTAAATATAATGTTTAAGGACAGAAATTATAATTCCTTTTTTGGCTTTTGATAATCTTTTTGTAAACCAGGGTTTGGGGGTATAGGATTGCATGGGCAGTATTGTAAATCCCCATGTACAGCTCCTTGTTGTACATGTTTTTTGCTCTTTTCAGCAATATTATACTTTACTTGTTTCAAACAAAAATAAATTGACATTATTAAAATACTGAATAAACCAAACGAACTTAACACAAAACATAATTCATGAATTAGTTGTATCTTTATATTGTACAACCATAATTCTAGAACAAGTTACCTATCAAAGAAAATTCTAGAACAAGTTCAACTTGCAACTTCCCCATCCCCTCCCCCCTCCCCCGAGAGAGAGAGGGAGAGGAATATTTCTTCCATCTTTTGCCATGCATTTAGTCCTCTGAATTAGTAAACAGAAAACACAAAGAGATTGCAAAAAGAAAACCTCAGATCTGAAGTTTCTATTCATTTATCACTCATGGGTCCAAACAAAAATGTGTAAGCATCATTTGAAGTTAAAAAAAGGAAGCAAAGAAAATCTTAAAAAATGATTAAATTTAAACTTCAAAGTCAATCCCACATCCTCTAGATTTGGTGTAAACCCCAATGAATTCCATGAATAGGATTCAATCACAATATTTGCCATAATAGGATTCAAAGGCACAATCTGATTCAATAGGACCCAATTCAATTTGAATTGTAAATTATACTGATTTAACACATGTCATAAAACACCAACAAAGGTATTTGTTTTTATCAGTAATGGTACTTAGGCTTTACTAAGATGTGCAAAATACCTGATACTGCCTGTAGATAGGGATGTAGGAACCAGTACAAGTACAAAAAGCTACAAACTGGCCTATGCAACAGCAAATATTCACTTTGAAATAAACTCTTATAAGTTATACCCTGGGCCCAAATCCCTCATCAATTCAGTTCTGTTGACCCCAGCTCTTGCAAAAGAGCCAGAAAGGCTATTGACCAAAGTAGGGATCTAATTGAATGAGCAATTCATATTGGACTCCAACACCTCCTCTCTAATCCCTAGGACCAGCAGTGGCAGATGAGAATCATGATATAACTACTTTGCAGCCTTCTGCTATAAAGTTAGAAAATTTTGAGGAAAAAGCCAGTTTAATCCTTGGAGGAGAGCAAACATCTCTGCCCTAAAAGAATTGCCTTCTTCAACCATTCCAGAAAATCTGAACAGTGTTTTTTTCTGATTTGTCTCTAATCCACCCTTAATTACTCGTTGGCCCGGATTACTGTGGCAGCATTCATCAAAATTTAGCTTAAAGATATCTACTTCAACCACACCCAAACCGTTTGTTGTCTTCTTGGGACAAAGCCCACAACTATAGACCTCCCTATTGAATCAGTTGGCACCACTTCAACTCCTCTCTCATCAAAACCCAGTGACCCACTCTCACCTTAATAGCGTCATCAACAACATCCACCTTTTCTTCCTTGCTGTCAGAAAGGAAGATGGTTTAAAATAAGGGACACTAAAGATATTTTCCACTATTTTGAAAATTAGGACAGAAAGAGAGGACCCTTGGAAAAGTTGATAAATGATTTGTAATGAATAATAACCTAGCAGCATGATGCTAGCCTGCTAGGCTAACAATCAATGTCCATGCAATTAAAACATTTCGCAAACATCAAGCCATTGCTAGCCAATTCCAAAAAGTGATATTGGGAATCCATGAGTGAGCTAGTTGTGTAATTTCCATTGGCAGTCTATTAATTCAGAAACCACTACTTGCCTATCAAATGGTTGACTGTTATCATCCAAGAAGTTTGGATTCCCATTTCCATAAAGCACATAGTCATACATTGCATATGACTTGCAAGATATGGGCTCACACATCTCTTATAGATTTAACTTTTGGTCTTTCCAAAGTAGCTTAAGCTTCTGGATAAGTTCCAGCTCTGATTAAGAAACAATTTTAAATTTATGGCTCAAAAGCCACTACTGTTCACCCAGTATTATCAGTTAAAAGAAATGTTCATTTCAAAGAACTTTATGATCCCTCCAAATTTCCTTAAAGCCTTATTCTAAGTAATAACTACTAAATTGGAAACAGAGATTAATTTTATCATGGCAAACTAAAGACGCATCACACAATGTCATCAGGAACAAGAGAATACAAACCCATAACTTACATCAGGCACAATACATAGATAAGACTTTTAAATACCTAAACTAGCTCCCTTATCCTTCATTGACATTTTGAAGCCCAATTTGGTTTTCAATACTGATTCATTTAATTGTCTCATATCCAATGGTATAAACACTGGTTACTCAGCTTACCTGGAAGCCATAAGCTCCAGGTTACAGCTTCACCAAAACAACCATAGGTGAATATCACCAAGATAGGCACACCCAGTGTTTTAAAAGTGCAAGGCACAAAAAAGGCGCAAGGGCCAAAAACACCCAGTGTTTTTAAGAAAGGCGCAAAATTACAAAAAAAAAAACTAAAAAATCAAAAACAAAAGTCAGAAAATTCAAAAAAATATGCCAAAAAATTCAAAAAATATTAAACATAACGTTAATAAAAAATATAAACTTAAATTTTAAAATAAATGTTTTAAAAAACCTATTATCTAAAATTAAAATACATAAACATAACATGTAAAGTGTATTCAAATGAAAATTTAAAAATAAAAGAAAACATATAAAGCATTTTCAAGCATGTAAAACACACAATCACTTTTTTTCCTTAATTGCATTGCTTCAAGTAGCTAATGTGATGAAAAACATATTGCATTCTTAATTCTATGAGTCACCTTTGTACCACGCCCCTCGAGGCAAGCCCGAACAAGCCTATGTTAGGGTCTGAAATTCTTATTTCTCACATAAAAAAATAATGATTTTATAACTTTTGTTGCCTTTTAAGAAGATATTTTATTGCAATGAATGAATGAACAACATTAGCAAATAGGGGGTTCTCGGAGCCCAGCCGTTAAAAAGGTGCACGCCTGGGCTGAGGCGCAAGGCGCATCAGGCGCACCAGGTGTGTACCTTTTGAAAGGGGGTGCGCCTAGGGCCTGGGCAAGGCGCATACCCCAAAATGCGCCTCGCCTGTGCACCTACAGGTGTGCCTTTTAAATCACTGGCGCACACCCTCTCAGACTAGGAAAAAAAAGGATTTTGATAGTGTATTCTGATCCTATGGGGATAGGAGACTCTACTTGGGCTTAGCTTCTCTCCTTACTCAAATATATTCCTTGGGCTATTCAAGCTCACAAGTGGAGGGAGACCCACAGGCATTTATTAGGTGGTTAGGAGCACTTGTATAGGTTCTTGGGCAGTATAGACATTGTATTAGGGAGGAAGTTTTTTTCAAGACACAACTTGCAAGCCTTTTTCATTTGATACTAAGATAAGCAAATGCTTTAGCAAACTCCCTGGGTGATGGGAGTAGAAAAGCACATATTAGTATTGGGGGCCTAGTCACAGTAGAAGTTGAGTATTTGGGTTTCGGTGCCCATACAATAACTAAGCAAGTGTAGCAAGAGGGACAGAACTGACTCCTATTCTTAGGAAGGTAATATCTATCCATTTTGCATTGTACTTTATTCTTCATTCTTTCTAATAAAGTTTCAATTGTTTATTGTATGTACTTCCATTACAAGTACCAATAAAAAAAATATAAGAAAAAACACTAAAATGAGGGTGGTATCTAGCTCAGTTTGACTCATCCATGTCTACCTAAAACCCCAATCTCCAGTGCTTACACATATACATCAAGCCTCAAGGTTATGTAAGCCATAATACCTCAGACATTGCACAAAATGTTCTGAAAGCTGGACATCCATAAGATATTCTCCAAACTCTCTTTCTTCACTTTACTACATTTTCCCCTCTTCCTTGTTAAACCCTAATGGCCCAATGAAGGACATTACATATACACATTAGACAGCAACCAACACCAAAGAGAGTGCAGGTACTCACAGAAGCACATAAATTAGCATGAAGCAATACAGAACACCACCGTGCAATCAATGGTTCCAGTATGAAAAGCAGCTTAAAAAACACCCAATCACTGTAACACTGTAGTGTGTTCTGAAACCAGATGAAAATGAAAATAACCCAGTACCCAATACCACCTAAATTATTCGTTGTAATTAAGGTTGTCTTGGGTTTATGGGTAGGCTACCTTTGCATGGGGGGGCACTGTCATTTTTATTAATGTGAGCTAAACAAATTACAAGCTAACATCGTTTCAATTACGAGACACCAAGAATCTCATACAACAAATCCTTTGTGAGGCAATCTTGACAATCAGGAGTCTCGTGGTTAAATGACCAACCATTTGAGGGGCAAGCTTGACTGCAGATGAGTGGTTTTTCAAGCCTGAAGGATGGTTTACATGCTCATATACCCAGAGGTGACTTGCACTACATAAACTTGGAATGACATCAGAATGAATAGAGAACTCACCTGCTCTTGAAGAAAATGTGATGATACAGAATTTAATGAATAAGAACTTAGTTTGTAATCTCTTTGCATGACCTGCAATCAAAGAGGAAATGTATTTTTCATTTTTAGCAAGCTAAGATAATTATCAAATAGAAAAAAGGTAAGATAATTTTTTGTTAAATCTTATGCCAATAGAGTTAGCAGACAACCTGAAGTAAATCAAACTGAACTCTCCCTTCAATTGTAACTTCTTTACTTTCCCTCGTTCCATATTGTCTGTAAATGCCATTAAGTATGAATAATAAGCAGATCCAATATTCAAATGTAGCTGAAGGTGGAAATCATAGATACAATAATTAAGTAATAAAGAAGTGCCTATAACAAGCATCAGAAAACTAGTTCACTACATAGAGAAAGCATTTTATGACTATGGCACTGAACAACAGAATGATGGAGGAGGATTCATGTAGCCAACCCCATATGGTTAGGACAAGGCTTAGATGATGATAATGACGGTACTATAACTCAAAATATATCAGATCTATAGAGCATAAACTGAAAAAACTAAAACATGTATAAGATAAAATGCCAATAGTTCTTCGATTAGCATGCCAAACACTTTAATTGAATCAAAAGATTTCTACCTTTCTCTTTCTTTTCTTTTTCTTTTTCTTTTTTTTTTTTTTTTTGCAAATGAGTTCATCAATTAACGCATCAAAACTAATAAATTGAATCTGAAGTTTTTGCAATTGAATAAAAAAAACTATTGTACCAACAAGCACCACATAACTAGATTCTAAGGGAGCTAAATTCCATTATTGATGACTTGGAAAGGTTGGATAGGGCCTAGTTTTTTTTTATTTTTTTGATAGATGATAGGGCTTAGTTATTGAATAGGGTTCAATAATTTTGACAGAAGCAGCCAGGGTAACCCAGGACCATCTAGCATTGGAGGAGTATTGAGGAATGAAAATGGCAACATCATATCCTTATTCTCAGGCCCGATAGGGATAGGGGACTCTACAAGAGCTGAGATATTGGCTACAGTACAGGGAATTCAGATTGCTAATCAACTAGGAGTGGAAAACCTATTGATTGAAGGGGATTCTAAGGTGATTGTGGGCTGGCTGTCAAATCCAGATTCGGTTGTTTGGAGTTATAGGGATCTCATCAAAAAAGTTGAATGTTTAACAAGGGACATAACATGTAGATATCAGTGGGTGGGTAGGGAGGCAAATGCTTTGGCTGATCATCTTGCTAAACAGGGGGGCTACTAGGGACCATTTATTCTGGGCAGCATTGTAATTTTTTCTGATCTTTTGTAACGGTTAGAAGAGGCTGCATCTCGTGCCTCTCCAAGGGATTCTTGTAAAATCTCATTCCTATTGTTTAATAAAATCATTTTCAATTATCAAAAAAAAAATTACAAAGAAAAAAGGTTGATGCAAGATAAGAAAGACCTAGAAACTAAAAATTAGAAGTGATTAACTTAAGCTTCAACTCAAAACCAAAGAACGCTCACTCTAGCTGCAACCAAAATTCGGAGTGTCAAAACTCACTCAATTCGCTTATGTTTTAGCATTATTAGAAAAATTTATTGGTTATACATCAAACAAGCCAATCGTGCAACTGGACATGAATTGAGAAAGCTATGGTTGATTTACAAACAGCCAACAAATCTACTACATGATTTTCTAATTTTGGTTATTTGAATTTTTAAATAGAGCTTAATAATTTACTGATCAAAAAAAAAATAGAGCTTAATAATTTCAGTATCCATTTTGATGGGTATTATTTTTAGAAGTTGTTCTCCTTATTAGAAAATTTATGTCAAAGGTCTAAATAATCAAAAAGTCAATCTTTAAAAGGTTTTTAGAAGTTAGTCAGTTCTGAAGTCCATTTGAAATAAAAGTGTGGGTTGAGAAATGAGGAAACCAAGTTGAAAACTGGTTTCCTCATTTAGGAAACCAGTTGATATGAAGTCCATACCTTTTTCTAAAAAGGCAAAGTTGAAAACTGAATAAAGTTGTCTTACCAATAAAAATAGAAATGGGGTTTTGATGCCAAATTTTCTTCATGCTTTTGATTCCTTCAAGAACCCATTAGGTGCCAATTTCTAACAGTTCCTCTAGGTGTTGACTCCTAAAGAAGCTTAATTGCTGACTCAAGGGTTATTTTGCCTTCTTTATCTTACTAGTAAGCATGCATGTGCTTTGCACGTGGCAATTCTAGATGATGATAATGATAGTAAAAATGTATCCACAAATTTTTATAAATATGTATTTTTTATTTTGTTTTTTATTATTAATCAGATGCAAATTGCAAAATCGAAATTTGATTACATAAACACCTCATCCAAATATGTGATAATTGGATCGAGTTGTAAAGTTTCAAGTATCATTGATAGGCCTACATGCTTCACTAGATTCTTCTTTTTGTAATGTTTTATCTTTTTGGTATATCTTTTTTTGTTCATTTATCAAAAAAATGTATGATTTAAATAGAGGGAAAGATGTGAATAGTAATAGTTCAATTTACAATTTAAACATCACAATTAAATAGGGACTAAGTTAAAAAATGAGTACTTTAATCAAAAGAAAGTTCCACAATCTTTTCTATATTTTTTTGTAATTCTGTGTAAAAATAATTTTAATAGGTCACACTTACTTTTTGTTTAATATGATAATTATATGATATTATACATGTGCCTAAATGTTTTTTCTTTTTGCAAAATTTATATATTTTTTCATTTTTGTACTTTTATATTTTATTAATTTTTATTATTTATTTATGACATTAAATGTTAACACGTTTGATTCTTGTTTATTACACTTATTGTTTTAATTTGATTAATAAAAATATCATAAACGTGTAATTTTTTCTACATTTTTGTAATTTTCTATATTTATTCCCATTTTAAAAATTTTATTACCTAACTATGACTTCATAGGTTGATCAATTTGATTAGGATGGTTGAATTTCTTAGCCACCACTTGGACAAAGAATAGTTTTATTTTTTAGTCAGTTTTAAAATATATGGGTTTATGTTGTTAAAAATATTGGCATAGATCTCATTACTAGCATTTATTAGTAAAAAGTAACTTAAATATAGGATTTAATAAGAGAATATGGGAGTTAATAATTTAAGTATAAGAATTAATGAGAGGGGATTAAATGAGGTGAGAAGTAATAATTGAATTTACATTTTCAACCCTTACCATTAGAGATGAACTAAATTCACAATTATGGGCATTTTAGTAGTCATTAAAGTTGTAATAAAATGGTTTTTATACCCTTTCTCAAACAAAGAAGTAGAGGGCAATTTTAGTCTAAAAAAAAGTTTCACATTGCATTCCCACTTTTATATATAGTATAGATTTAACAAGCCTATGCTCAGAAGAGATAGTAAGGAGATTGTGAACATCTAATACAAATATTTTAGTATATTTTGCATCTTTCTGCATAAGCATGTTGTTCCTCAAGGATGCCTTGAGTTCTCTTCAATTCTTTCATTACCATATATTAATAAAGTCCTTTCATTATTATAGAAAAGAGTTATCTAAGAAGTTTCTAATAGTCCTAGAAGTTCTTCCTTTATTCATTTTGTGGATTGAATTGAATATGTTCTCTGCAGACCTAGTGTGGACTGCAGAAAAAAATACTGTCAATCTTGTATTCTCGAGGAGACAAGAACTCCAATTGCATATTTTCTTCAGGCTGGGATACTATAACTAGAAGACAGTCTTTATTCATTAGTATCAGCATTGTCATTAGTGGCCATTGCTTCGTGTGATGGTAAAATCTTGGGTTGACAAACGTGAAAACACAGGTTCAAGTCTGAAAGTGGCCACTTTGTGGGAAAAAAAAATTCCAAAGATTAGGTCCATATCCAATCAACCCCTCCCAAGACCCCAAATATCAGGGATCAACATTGTGGAATGGCCTTTTTAGTTCCTCCATGGCCATTACAACTTTTTCTTTTCAGCTCTTCATGCTAGTCTTTGGAGAACAGTCTTGCCAATGTATGTTCTCTGTATGAGGGATTCATCAACCCAAATAGCCATTCTGCTTTCTCTATTTGTCATTAGATTAAACGGAAAAAAAAAATGTCTATCAAACCATGTGACTCTTCTACAGAGCTATGAGACTCCATATTTCCCTGTGACCTTGGTGATATTGCTGACTCCAGATTACACCTCCATTTCTCCTTCCTTACTTCTATCATATATCTTTTCCATCCACCATAACTAAGACACCTTAACCAAGTCAAGGCCCCCACACTCACTCATAACTAGAAGTCTTGAACCACATATTATCATTCCTTGTCCATTGGTTCAAGGTTCTGGTTTTACTATTAGCTAGGTCATATAGGCATTAGTTAATCCTTTTCAAACTGATATGGTCTTTTTTTTATGATTGTTCAGGCATTGCTTTGTTGCAGAAGTTCCTTGTCCAAAGATGAAAATATGAAATCTCTGAAACAAAGAAAAAAAAAGGATGAAATCATTCTAACAGTTACAAAATCCCAAATGAATTTTCCATCTACAATTAAATAGTCATTTAGTGCAGTAAATGAAACATGTAAGAAAGCCAAGGATATGAGAAAATATAGAAGCAACCAAAAATATATGATGCAAAAACTAACCTTGAAGAAAAGGTGGTTTCCTTTACACGCACCCTGCCATTCCTGATGCGGCCTAATATTGGAAATTCTGCTATTTTTAGGGCCTCAGCTCTCTAAAACCATGAAAAGAAAAACCCTATTAAAGCATTTCTATGTAGTTTCAGCCCAGAAATCATGGGCATTCCTTGCAGCTAGTGCTACACGTACTGGAAGTTTACCACAAAACAGAGGGGGGGAGAGAGAGAGAGATGTTCATAGTACAATTCTTTGTATTCTTCATTGTGCAATTTCAGACTAAGGGAAAAAAGTAAAGGACAAAAATATGGGAAGAAAAGGAGAAAAACAGAAATACCTCAATGAGATATGGCAAATCAAATTTGCAGATGTTATAACCAATTATAATATCAGGATCCACTTCTCGGATAAAATCCTGTATGAGGCTCATGCATCAGAGAGTGTCAACTGAAAATAAAATTGTTGTTTTAATCGTTCATAGTTTGTTTTAATCAGGTTTCTTACATCAACAAAAAACACTACCATTCATGCCCCAGATCAATAAAGAACTAAAGGATTATTGAACTATAAGCATGCAACAATCACATGATTCTATGCCTTTGTAAAGTACAAATCAACTCAAAACTATGCCACAAATAATTTTTCTAAAGGTCAAAGTTAAAAAGGACAACAACTACTGCAGGCCCTATCTATTTGTGGAATCATAGGAGGGGTAGATTGGATATGGGCCTAACTTCAGGGTTTTTTTTATTTTTGCACAAAGTGGTCACTCTCAGCTTGCCACTATGCCAAACAATGGTAAAACTATGTCATAAAGGATTTTCCTAATGATCAAAATTAATAAGGCCATTAACTAATGCTGGTCCATCCATCCGGGGTCTTGGGAAGGGTGGATTTGGTTATGGACCTAACCGGGTTGTTGCACGGTGGCCAGTCTCATTTTACCGCCCCACTAAGACATGCCCCCCTTCTAATGATCAAAACATAAGGATAGAAACGGGCATGCCAAACATAAATCATATATTCTCAATATTGTAAACAAGATATAAAATTAATTCTTTGGGAAATTGTAAGCCGAGTTTAAAGTTAGAACTTAGAAGAAGGATGTGGAGGTGGAGGGATATTGCCATACCATAATCTGCTTGATCAGTGCTTAAGAAGAAATCCCATGGAAATTCAGGTCAATGGTGAGACAGCCATGATTTTTAGATACCATCTTGAATAGCTCATTCATATAGGTGTCCAAAAGTGATAATGCTTTGGCTGATTTAGCAGCAAGGGCTGGGGTGACAAAGGATCAGTTTGAATGGGTCTATCCAGGGCCAGGTTGTAATTTGCGATCTGTATTTAGTAATTGTAATTTGTATAATTGTATTTTGGGCTCCTTGGCATAGGAGCAACTTCTGTACTTTGGGCTACTGTTCACTTTGGTGAGCAGTGTGATGTCTCTTTTCAATGAAATTTTGTTATTATTCATCAAAAAATAATAATTCTTCGGGAAGGCAGCTTCCTGAAAACCGCCAGACAATATACACTGTTAGGCAAGAAAACATTCTGTTTTAGAGGTTACAAATCATACTTATTCACACATTACAAGACATTAAACTATCTTATTCTTACCAAAAATACATCATATTTGCCCCTCAGAGAAGACAACCAAAAGGGAAAAAACATTCCCAGGATGTGATTTTTAGGCAAATGGACCCAGGAGACATTTTTCCAGTTTCCCATTTGTTGCTTCATTCCTTCACAGTCTCTAAGATCTGTTTTCATTATTGGGAGCCTTTTTGGATTGTTACTTTTATGCCTCACAGTCCCTCTGAGTTGATTTTTTATTGTCTGATAAAGGTTTTCAGCTCCCAAGGTCCAATCCTACAGAGAACACTCCCTTTAATCTAATTATGGGTTGTTCAGAAGGAAAGAAATGATTAACTTTTCAAACATCAGAATTGCCCCATTTGAAAGTATTCAATACCGTATCTTGTTGTCAACCGACCATTAAAGCATCTTTTCAATGAATAGAGATTTCTGAAAGCAACCTTACAACCATATAGCACTCATTCTGATACCACTATAAATGGGGCTTTCCCCCTCTATAAGTAGTACTAATACATTGTACTCACAAAAATAAAGGGTGCAAAGAGAAATTTCAGAATACAAGAATGAACACTGCTATGAGAGAGAAACAATTTACCCTCCAAGCTAGTAAAACTTCTCTTTCAGTGTCAAATGGCATTACATCAACACCAACAATTGGAGCACATGATTTAAGTGTCATGACATTGCGTACAAATGGCTGGTTTTCTCCTTGAAGAGTCACTAGATTGGCAACCTAGAAAGAAAGATGGTTTATTGTAAAGAAGGTATATTAATAGCTAGTTGTATAATTCAAATTTTATTTCTTTTGAGAAAAGTAATAGATGAACCTGAATAACAGGATCGTGACTAGGCTCAGGAAAATGCCCTTTGCGACCAGCACACTCAATGTCAAAACTCAAAATGCGAAAAGGAGCCATTTTTGAGAACTCTCCTTCAGGGGCATGACTGATTATATCAGAATACCTAGCAACATTTGTCAAGGATAGCAACGTCCCCATTGAAACCATGCTGAAAGTAAATGTGATTGATAAAAAATAAAAGGATAAAAAAAAATCTTTAGAGGAGATTTAACAAGATCCAATGCATGAGGATACAGGCAATCAAACTCCAACTGGCAATAAGACAACTGCCTTGTTGCGTTCATATATTTTCCTGCAGGAACTTCGATCCAATTGCCTCCAACAATATTGCAATCAATCATGAAACGAAGAGCAAAAAGGACATTGCTTTCATATGTCATGAAGCTCTTTAAACCAAGACCGTCAATTTGTATGCCCCTATCAAGGATTCCTGCCAAAGTAAAGTGTTATTAGAATCTACAAAACCCATATAAGCAGTCTGTCCCAATTGACAGTTAAGATATATATTTTTACAATAAATTAAAGTTCATTCAAAAAGGAGAATTACAAGATATGATGATAAGGAAACACAAAGCATGGGAAAGGGGAAAAAACCTAACCCCCTTAACAAGGGCATCCAAGATAGCTTGCTTTTAAACTCCCTTCTAAAGAAAAAAAAAATGAAAGAAAACTTGATCCATGTATCAGCATTTAAAACCATTACCAGTTCAAATTCAACCAACATTAGTCAACTATTTTTTACAAAAAAAAAAGATTTTTATAGATATATCTGTGTGGGCTCATCTATGTTTATTTACCTGTATGATGTCAAGGATGATATGAAATAATTAGGTTATACAAGGTTTAGCAAACTACAATTAGGTGCCATTTGATAACAGCTGAAGTGGCTAAACTGAAATGCTTGTTGCTTTGTCTTTTAGTGAGAAGTTTTAAGGAGGTTGTGGGTTCCTTGAGAGTTGGGGCTGAAGTTGGGTAGATTACTACATCCTTGAATATTTTATTACTTTTTTATCAATAAGTTTATTACTTAATTAGTTTATCCACTAAAAGCAAAAGTAATAAGCCGCTTAGTTCAGCAACTTTAGACGTTATCAAATGTTAGTCTACTACGCTGCCACTTAGGAAATTGTGCATCAAAAAAGCATTTGCACCAGAACCAAAGGGGAAATGATAGATTGTTTAAAATCATAAAATGTTTAGTTGCAGTAGAAACAACTATATAACTACAATTCATCAAGTACCATACTTTAAATAATGATTTAAAAGGAAAAAACAACTTCCTGGCAATTTAAGTAAAAATTGGCAATTTAATAGTCAATTTTACCTCGGCAACTAGTGACCATTGTAGGCAATGCAACAACAATTTTGAGAAATGGCTGAGATTTCTGTTGCTGGTAATACATTATGCTCCTCTTCTGCACCATCTCAATCCGTAGAACACACTTGGGAACCTTACTGTTTCTATTTGCTTCCTTCATCCTACTCTGAAAGCACCCCACCAGAGAGACACAACCAGCAGAACCACAGTAAATTGCTAATAATAAAGTTTAAACGTTACCCCATTCGGGGGAAATAAAGGAGGGGGGGAGGGGGACGACCTCAAGAATTTGATGGAAGCGAGAGATATCATCTGGGCCCATTCCTGGAGGACAGCTGATGTAGAAATATGGCTCAAAGCCGTGAACAAGGCAGCAGACACTGTGTCCTGACAATGCCAAGATGAAAACTTATGAGTCCCATAAAAAAAAATGTTTAAATTTAAAATGACATGCAGGTACAGTAATAATGGTTTCCAGTCTTCACTTAGACAAATAATCTGCTTATATAATAATAGTCATTAGAAATGTTACACCTTTAGGTCAGTCCCTGTACAACGCAGCAACAATTTGTAAGTAACAATTAAAGTCACCCTAATATGTTTTAACTTTCAGACTGCTAGTTAAAAATTCAGTTAGAACTTTAATTGTTATTTAGAGTCAACGCAACTAGAAAAATGAAATTGAAAACAGCAACTACAATGACAGTAGAATTTTACTTGGCAATAAAACTGGCATTAATTTGTACTTATGAGTATGCCAGTAAATTACCGCTATTGGTCAGATAATGTGAATGTCAGAAAGACATGATTGAATTCTTCCGGGAAATTCGTTTAAACTTCAAACTATGATTGCCCTCCCCAATGAGTTCAAGCAGCAGTAGAGGGAAAAGAACCAACTTTTTATGGAAATTTTAAACAAAAAAGAAATAAAAACAAAGCAGCGACGACTAGAAGTAATAGGTCATGAATAAATAAAAAGAAAAATACAACTAACCTTCCCTTGTGACACCAAACATTCTGAGAATGGCAGCCGGACCAGAGGAATTTGGCATTAGCACTTTATGACTATCTCCGATCACATAATCGATCTCAAGTTGTTGGAAAACTGAAACCCCAATAAGGATCAATAAACGGTGAATTAGAAACAGAAAAAGAAAACCCTAAAAATTTGGGATAATAGCAGAGGGCATGGAATAATGGGACGGGAGTAGTTACTGATGCTCTGAGACTGGGAGAGATAAGCAGCGGAAAGAAGAGGGCGCTTCCACTTTGAGAGATGGGAAGCAAGTGCTTCCCGCTCTTCTGCGTTGCGGAGAGCTTCTTCTTCTTCTTGAAGGAGAGTTTCGTCAAAGAACACGTCCTCGTCCATCTCCTCTTCTTCTATCATTGCTTGGTGCTTCGTCGTAGGTTCTGATCCGGACGAAGCCGGACCTCTCTTCTTGCCGGCGTTGCCGTTGTTCATTTTCTTCTTCCTCTTACTCTCTTTCTTTTGGCGGGAAAAAAAGGAGAAAGATGCAGGAGGGAGACAATTGAACTAGCAGAGAGAGAACCCGATGGATGATATTCCCGCCAGATTGGGAGTGGGAATTTATAGCTGGAGAAATGCTACGAAACACGAGTAGCGCTAGCATAACTGAGTAACCGGTAAGAGAGAAATTAATTCTTTTTTACGAAAATGCCCCGAACTCGTGATTTAGTGGCACGTACAGGAACAATGCCCCTCGGGCGAGATCACACCAGCGCCACATATGCACATCTCAGCGTGCATTGGGATCATCATTGAGAGATGCTCCCATTACACGGTTCGGATGTGCTATAGGGCGCCCGTGGGGCGCGCTCTGTGGAGCGTAAATGTAAACTCCACTTCGGCCCTCCCTCGCTAATTCGCTATCTGTTTTCACTTTCAACCCATCACTCTAATGACTCGTCGCACCGGTGACCCGGTGGGTGCGACCCGCTGACCTCAATAATTAGATCGAAGCGGAGAATTGCCATGAAGAGTTCGGTTTTTAGGCCATATTTGGGAGTTGGGAGTGTAAGTTAAAAATAAGTGATTATTCAAAAAGGCATTTAATTGTATTTGGCATCCAATGTTTTTAAGTGTTTATTTTTTTAAATAAGTACTTATGTTATATTGGGCATTTTTTGTAGTCTTTTTCTCTAATAATCACTAGTGATTATTTTGTTCTTCATTTTCTTTCAATTTTTCAAAATATATCCTTTGAAAGCACTTTTATGAAAATATTTTTATAAAAAACACTTTTATTAAAGTACTTTTACAAAAGCACTTTAATTAAAGTACTTTTATGAAAACACTTACAAAAAGCACTTTTACAAAATCACTTTTATAAAAGTGCTTTCACAAAAGTACTTTCATAAAGTGTTTTCCTAAAAGTTCTTTCGTAGAAGTAGTTCCATCAAAATGCTTTCGTAATCAAAATACTTTCATAAGAGTACTTCCATCAAAGTATTTTTATAAAAGTGCATTTGTAAAAATGCTTTCATAAAAGTACTTTATTGAAAGTGCTTTGCTTTCATAAAGGTACTTTTAAAAAAGTGCTTTTGTAAAAGTATTTTTATAAAAAGGCTTTCGTAAAAATACTTTTATAAAATTCAATTAGGGATAATTTTATAACTAGTGTTCTAAAATTCAACTAGGGATAATTTTGGAAGAAAAATTTTGAATAAGTGCTTATTTGGGCTTAAAAAATAAGCACTTATTTTGGGCTTATTTCTCAAATACCAATAAGTGTTTAATGGCCCAAATAACAACTTATTTTAAATAAGCACTCCTAAGCATGGCCTTACTAGGGTAGAGGTGTCCATAAAAAACCGAATAACCAAGCCGATTTGAAAAATGCAGTTAACTGAATCAATTGGTTTGGTTTTAGTTTGGTATTTTTGAAAAACCAAAGTATCGGTTCAATTTTTGGTTAACCTAGAAAAAACTAGCAATTAACCGAACAAACCAGTATATATTTATATGTATATTTTTTATATGCCACATATTTTCTATATATTATATGTTTATATATGAAAATATACATATATTATATTTATAATAGTATATTTATATATTTTTATAATATTTATAGTATATTATATATCATTTATTATTTATAATATAATATTATATGCATTTATATAATATATATTATAAATATAAAAAATCAAAAAATCGAAGAACCGAATTAGTCAAAAAACGAAACCGATCAACCGGTTAACCGATGGTACAGGTTTAGTCTTGGTTCGGAGAAAGCAAAAAACTGGTATAACTAGTTTTGATTTAAAAAATAAAATAAAAAAGTCTATAGTTCAGTTAACCGAACCATGGACACCCCTAACAAGGGGTGCAACTTGGGCTGGCCCAAAACAATCCAACCCAAAATTTTACGCATGCTATTTGGATTTTTGGTTTGGTGTTGGGTTCATGTCCAATAATTCAAACTTTTTTAGTTTTTGGGCCGAGTCCGGGCCTAGCACTTAGGTACAACAAGCCTAGACAACTACTTGCATTACATATATTTGTATACACTAATAAGTATGCACGTGAGAATTTTAGACCATGATGATGATAATAAAAATGTAACAAAATTTGTTTATAAAATTAATGTATTTTTTATATTTTTTGTTTTTCACTATTAATCGGATGCAAATTTCAAAATCCGAATTTGATTATGTAAACACCTCATATTGGGTTGCAAAGTTTTGGGTATCATTGACAACCCACCTACTTGGCAGATTCTTCTTTTTTACAATGTTTTATCTTCTTAGCTAGTGCATTTTTATTGTTCATTTATCAATAAAAATGTAATATTTAAAGAGAGGGAATTGAACGAGGTGAAAATTGTAGTTCAAACTACATTTTATACTTCACAATTAAATAGGATTAAATTTGAAAATTTTGTATTTTAATCAAAAGAAAATTCCACAATCTTATTCATATTTTTAATAGTAGTGTAAATACAAAGTTATAAATGTGTTCAATTTTTCTATATATACATTTTTTTTGTCTATGATAAATATATGATATTGTAGATGTGCCAAAATATTTTTTTGTAAAATTTATGTATTTTTTTCATTTTGTGTTTTTTTTTTATATTCTATTACTTCAGCACGGGAATGCATAACATAATTAATTATGACACTTAATTATTATTATTATCGTTATTATTCATTATGATCTATTAATATCCACTAAACAGGAAAATTATTTCATTGTTTGTTAGTTTTAGGTTATGTGTTTCATTTTCATTATCAATCAAAAAATAGTTTATTACACTTTTTTTTAATTTGATTAATAAAAATATCATAAATGTGCCTATTTTTCTATGTTTTTATAATTTTCTATATTTATTTCTATTTAAAAATTCTATTATCTAACTATGGCTTCATGGGTAATTTGATTCGGATGGTTGAATTGCTTAGTTTGAGTAAAGAATTGTTTTGTTTTGGAGTAAGTTTTAAAATATATGGGTTTATATTGTTTAAAGTATTTAACATAAATCTAATTAGTAGCATTTATTAGTGAAAAATAACTTAAATATATACTTTAATAAGAGATAATGGGGATTAATACCTTAAATATAAGAGTTGATAACATGGGATTAAATGAGGTGAAAAACATTAATTGAAAATACATTTTAAACCTTCATAATTAGAAATAGACTAAATGACAAATGTGGGCATTTTAGTCAATAAAAGTTCTACGTGCTTTACAGGTGGCAATTCTAGATGATAGCGATTATAATAATGATATATCCAAAATTCTCTATAAAGTTTATGTGTTTTTTGTTTTTTTTTTAATTATTAATCAGGTGCAGATTGCAAAATCTAAATATGATTACATAAACACTTCATCCAAATATGTGATAATTAGATCAAATTGTAAAGTTTCAAGTATCATTGGTAGGCCACTTGTTTGATTAGACTCTTATTTTTATAGTGTTTTGTCTTTTTGGTGTGTCTTTTTTCTTTTGTTCAATTATCAAAAAATATAAGATTTAAATAGAGGGAATTGGATGAGGTGAAAAGTATAAGTTTAATTTACAATTAAATAAGACTAAATTCAAAAAATGTGTATTTTATTCGTTATTTAAAAAACCAAATTAGACCGAATGAATAAACCATTTGGCATAAGAATTGTTAAAGTCACTAGTTCCGTTTTGGCTTTAAACCGCTATTTTACAACAAACTGTTGATATGGTCAAAGAACCACTGACCTAGACGGTTTAGTTGTTAAACTGTTGACTCGATTAATGGTCTTCAGGTTGCTTTCAAACTAATTTCAATTTTTATTTATTTTAAAATATATATTAGAAAAATTAAAAAGAAAAAGAAAAATGAAATTTCATTTCTCATTATATTGTTCAATTATTCCCAATGTCCAAAATTAGTTAGGGTTTTTAGTTTTTCCATCTTGATTTTTGAGTTTTCTCATTTATGTGATTATTTTTAAATTGTAACAAAAAAATGCAACTTCAACGAAGAAAAAAAAAATCAATGCAAGGCATGATAGATTAAACATCAATCTTATATTAAAATATGAGATACATCAATGAAGTAAACAATCTGGGATTTTAGAGAAATTTATAAATATGTCAGAAGAGGGCAAACGGTGTTGTAGCAATGGTAATGATGAACATGGAGATAGTCATCAACAACGGTTCTTTATTATTCTCAGGACAAAATGGTTCTACAATAACGATTGGTGAACATGGTGACAACTATTCTAGTGACACTTCATTTTCTTATTCTTCTTTGTCATTTTTCAACTTTAACCAATTGCCTTATTCTCAAATCTCACATTCCCCTCTCATAATAATATACATATATATAGTGGACTTTAACCTACTCCTAATCCAACAGTCAAAATAAGAAGAGTTAAATTATATTTTACATCTTACCAGTTTGACCTGCTCAAACTGGATGGTTGAACCACTGACTTGGAAACTAGATGCCAAAGTGCTTTTGTTTTTTGGTCGGTTTTTAAAACTTTGATTTTAGTCAAAATAAAGTTCTACAATATTATTCATATTTTTAATAGTAGTGCAAATATAGAAATATAGATGTGTTCAATTTCTTTATTTTTTTTTTGTATATTTATGTATAAAAATAATTATAATATATCACACTTACTTTTTGCTTAATATGATAAACACATGGTATTATAAATATGCATGAATGCTTTTTTTTGGAAAATTTATGTATTTTTTTATTTATTTATGACATCAAAGTTTAACACATTTAACCAAAAAGTTAAACTTTTTATTATTAATTTTTATATTTCGTTTTTTGTTAGTTATTTCATTTTCATTATCAATAAAAATAATTATTGTTTAATACACTTATTTTTTAATTTGATTAATAAAAATATCATAAATGTGTCTAATTTTTTTTTACATTTTTTGCAAATTTCCATATTTGTTTATATGTTAAAAATTTTATTATATATTTATGACTTTATAACTTAATCAATTAGATTCAAATGCTTGAATTGCTTAGCCGTCACTTGGGCAAAGAATGGTTTATTTTTTAAGCTTTCAAACTTAGATTAATTACTTATTGTGTACAAAGACATGTAAGAACCATTCATAGCACTAAGTATTGGTCTTTAAGATTAGATTTGTCAAGATTGGTAAAGATTAAGCCCATAAAGACCCTCTCATGTATATGATTTATATCGTCATAAACACAAAACAATGTAGACCATTCGGAATTTGATGCTTTCTCATTTCAGCTCTTGGTAGCAGACTTTTTTTTTTTTTATTGGGAAAATTAAGAAGTTGAATCAAAATGGTTGACATTTGTCCAAACATTTCGCCAAAGCTTTACTTCTCATAGCAATATGTTAAACACTTTTATTTCAATGATACAACTACACACTTAATCATTAGTACTATAATTGATTTGTTATCATTAAAACACATAAGACCGAATATTGAACCACCGATCCTTTAATATAAAGGTTATGTTTGGTTTGTATAAAAAAAGGGAGGAACATAAGGTAAAGGGCACTTATTTTCTATGGAATCATACATAACCCAAAGGATCTTGATATAGGATAGGGTAAATTTCTTAAACTATCCTTATGGTTTAGTTAATTGACTAAGTGTACCTTCTTTGAAAATTGAGTAACACTACTCCCACTAATAACATGCCTGTTAACATAAAGATGAAAAAGACAATTTTACCCTTCAATATTTTTTAAAGTATCAAAACAAAACAAGAAAAAGGGAAAATAATAATATCACTTAGAGACTTGGGCAGGAAGGGTTTCTACGGCTAAACACTAGAAGTGTTATGAGCTTATGGACACCGCCGCCGCTGCAATAAATTTCTGACGGCGAGAGGAAAGGGTCTATCGGTGACGGTCTAACTCATATTTACACAAATACATAAATATGTTAAATAATGTAGTTCATAAATGATACCAGCGGAGACACTCTAGATAGGATAGGATGACGAATGACGATGGAGAACTCAGCCACCGCTATGGCTCCTTTTCTTCTTCAGAATTTGGTAACCTCTATATTCATCTTTGCTGACAAATCCCTTCCTTAATTGCAAAACCAGCGGCCGACTTTCCTCTCAAACCCCACCACATTAAGTGGGAATTCCCAACACAAGGAGACTCCGGTATCGCTCGAGCACTCCCTCAGATTATGTCCATCATCAACGATATCCCAGTCAGCTCCCGCAAATATGAAATGGTTCGAAACTTAGTTGAAAATCTCATCGACGAGAATCTCTGGGAAGGATGCGAATCGCAGAGAAAGGTCAACCAATCAGTTCTATCGGTGGCGTTCGCCAGGACTCTTTGCCTACTCGAAAAGGCGATGTCAGAGCAAGAGCGAGAGCAGACCGCTGAAAATGTATTTAACCAAATATGTGACTTTCGAATCTTCAAATCTAAACAAAAAAACTCCAGAAACACGAGGCTTTATGGGGTTTGATTGGAAGCTGATGAAAACCCCACTTTGCAAAACCCTTATTTGCATTTGGAAAATATTGGATGAGTCCGATTGGATTATTCAAACTTTACCGGTTGCAGCCTTTTCCTCTTTGGTGCTACAGATGCTCATTAAACCAAGGGTGCCATCGTCATCCCCAAAAGGAGAGGAGTTGGGTTTTGGACGAGACGGTCGTCATGGAAGACAACTAGCTTTGGCACCTTGACACGGCTTACTTTCTGCGGCTGAACACAAGAAGTGTTTTGAGATTAGGAATACCACCGCCCTGCAAAATGGCTGTTGCATGATACGCTGTCTGTAAGAAGATTCAGCAAGGTCCGATACAATACGCTATGGCTGCCGCACAAGGTGGTGGCACAGGAGGCTGATGGGTCTGTGAAATTTGGGCACGACGATGGGTCTGCCTATTTGTTCGATCCTGATATCTACACGGACGGTCGGATTTCAGTGCAGGGCATTGACAATGTGTTGTTCCTGCCAAAAGAGCATTAGTTGAAACCCGAAATGAAAACAACAAATATAAAAACGGTCAAGCACTCCAAGATTTCTATAAAAGCAAGGATAGGTTTGTATTTTCATCCTTCTAATTAGTATTGTCTTTCATCCGTCATTACATCTACAATAATTTAGGAAGCAATGAACCGAAATGTGAGACGCTGCGACCGAAATTCGGACGTTTATTATTGAGGTGTTGAGTCCGGTTGCCGGAATCCATGTAGTGTTGGGTGTTGGGACTTGTCGTCGTCACTTGTGGTGATTATGCCATTCGGTAGTTGCAGCGACCCTGCAATAGGGCTTCTGACGGCGAGAGGAAAGGGGCTGTCGGTGGCGGTCTAACCGGAGCGGCGGACAGTAGAGAAAGAGGGAGGGAAAGGACTGAATAGGAAAAAGGTGGGGAGGAGAGAAAGAGGGAGAAGGAGGTGGAGGGTCAAAATAAGGGAGAAGTACGAATCAGCCCAGATCAGAATTTACTAGGCCGAAAGTACAGGGGGAATGCATCTGACCGGGCTACTTGGTCAATTTCCAATTAAAAAAATTACCCATTGGTGAGTTTTTGGCTTTAGGGGGGGGTGGGGGGTGGGGGTTCGGAGAGGGCGTCATATTCCCCGTCCCTGACCCAATCCCTATATGTTTGGGTTGGGTCGGGGATATCAATCCACATCAATAACCCGACCCGGGATCTAAATCAACTTTCCTGTGAAGCTAGTTTTAATAACTTTTTCAACAAGGCTCAGCCAATGCAACATATATAATCAAAGCAGAAGTTCTCTCAAACGTTTTACACTGCACTGGGCCCGAATATTTGGCCAGGCCCATCTAATTTTAACAAGATTCCAACCTGAATCCGCCCAAATTACACCCCTGTTGACATTTGAGGCTTGAGTTGCATCCACAAAAACAAACCAGCATTTTCTAGAGTTGAAAGTACTTAGCTAGATATCCACTGTTTCCCTCATACAACCAAATCATATTAAATGAAATCATTGCGCTCATTTTATCTTTCCCATCCCATCTCATTTTAACAAAGTCTCTTCATAAACCAAACACAACCTAAACAACTTGTGACTCTATACATGAATGTGAATAATGTTTGGTATGTGTAAAGTCATAATCAACAAATGACTATGCTTTATAAAATATTTTATCTATATTTGTTTGATAGAAGCTTGGGTGCAACATGGGCAGGCTGGATCAGGTTCAGGTTCAGACCAAGCCCAAACATAAGGCATCGACATTGAGCTCGGGTCAGGTGCAACCTAATTTCAAAACCCATACTTGCCAATCCAAACTACACCCAACACATCTTAAATTGGCGGCATTATACCTATGACCCAGACCAATCCTGGCCCATTAGCGGCATTATACCTGAGACCTCAACACCCAACAGGCACCATGAATGCTGGTGAAACCTGAATTTTGAAGTCCCGGACCAGTCCAGACCCAGAGCTCAAGAATTCAATTTATCACAACCACAACAGACAAACCAAAAAAGATACTTCTTTTACTGTTATAGAAACAAATTCTACAATTGGTAATCTTCATGAAAATATTTATTACAAAGTTTTCGTTTTTTTTTTTTTTTTTTCTAAATGAATGGACAGGGATAGTCATCCAAATCAATAAACCAGCAAGTTTAATGTATCCCCAGCTCTAACCAAATTTCTAGATGGTTTATTCAAATCCATAGTCATTATTCATGAATCTCATGCAATCAAAGTGGCCCTAAACCCAATTCAAAAGTCCAAACACATCAGTTTAACAGTTTTACTGTTCTACCTTCAAACCCATGTGGCCAATTCCCACCAGGGCAAACTTGGACAGACTGCTTCTCATTTAAAGATCAACCTAATCAAGCCCAATTTTTGAAACCTACCTCAGACCCAGTCAAACCCAAGCTTGTCCCCAATCCTAGTTTGAGCTGAATGAAAGTATGAAACACATCTCGAGCTGGTATGTAGTTCTTCGTAGCCATGCTCTGCAATTATACATTTTATTGAAGTTTTATAGTTCAATTTAGAAATGGAATAAGAGAATACATATCTTTTATATATAATATTTAGAAAAAATACATGTACTTACATAAAATAATCATCACAAACTCACAATGACACAATATTGAAACTAATACAAGGGGAATGGTACACACCACACAGCTTCTTGATTACATTGATAGTAACCAAAGTATTAAATAATAATATCAAGCTTGATTACAATATATGTAAAAGGAACACATAAGGCAGAGACAAAAACCTGCCTATCGACACATCACCGTGCAAGCTTCCTTCCTCCTAAAGAAAGATGAAGCAATCCAAGGAGATGAGCGGGTTATCAATGTCGTCCATGGGAAGAGAACTGTAATCCTGGTAAGATAGCACTTCTGCGACTGCATTTTGAGCGACATCAGGACGGATGTGGAGAGTGGAGGTCTCTCTGTTCCTCAATTGCACCCCATCGCGAGTTACATTGTTGGAAGGACTTCTAGGCCGAAGAAGGATTTCCTTCCTTGCAGGTAACGAGGTGGGCTTAGCTGCGCTTGTCTTCAAACCAGTACTGTTCCGACTGCAGACCTCTCTGATAGATTTAATACCTGGAACTCCTCTATATTCATCGTTGTTAAGCCTTCGACTCGGAGATGGAGAACGGAAGGTTCGACTTGGAAGGGAGCTTGGGGAGTGGGGTCTTTCAAAATCCCTCCTGAAACTCTTCTGTCGAGTGAGAGTTGGGGAGCTATCACGCCCTCTTTTCAGTTGTTGGGGTGCAACGCGCCGTGGCGGAATTGACTGCTTTGATGGTGAGGATTCAGACCTTCGAGGAGGAGGCCGCTTAACGAGTAAATCCTTAGCAGGAGTCGCTTTGCTTGGAATAGCCGGAACTATGTGTGGGTTCTCCTTGATGCAAGACCACAAGAACTCATTTGAAAATGATGATCTATCTTTCGAAATCAAAACAGAAGATGAACACGCCGATGAGTTGGAGGTTGAAGAGGAAGAAGAGCTATTAGTGCTGGCGCTGGTTGATGAAAATGAGAGAGAAGAAGAGGAGGGGGAACTGAGAGGAGAATGTGATGGGTTGATGGAGAGAGGAACGTTAGGAGACGTAGCAGGAGCCTGTGAGATTACGAGCTTGTCTTGGACAAGATTGCATTCGTTGTAGGGAGGAGGTTTGGGCCGGCATTTGCTAATGCAAGATCCCATTGAACTGATCGAGGTGGGATTTCTCAGAATTTGAAGAAAAAATGGGAATGCATTGGACTGCCAGGAGACACAGGAAGAAGAAAGTAGTGGGTTCTTATGCTTTTAATTTGTTTAATCAGATCATGGGCAAAAGGAAAGAAGAAAGTATCGACTTTTACCTTTTTCTTCGCTTCTTTTAAATTGTTTGAATCTGTTTGGGCGGGGACTAAACTAAGAATCCGTTACACAACGGATAACTTAGAGGTGGTGGTGGTACTGGAAGCTTTTTCTTTCTTATGCTAACTTAGTAGTAGTAGTAGTACAAGCGTGACATGCCCGACCTTTTGCTTTAGATTGTTTAGCATCGATTTATTCAGTCAGGGGATCCTTCACATAAAGTGCTGCTTTCCTTACTTCAGATCGGAAAGTCAGTTTTGAGATCAATTGTGGTTTTTTGGTCAAACCCATTTTTTTTTAATTTGGTTCAAGTCCTTCTCTACCCAATTATTTAATATTGAGTCCTTAATTAACTCCTGTTTTCTCAGAGTTTGGGCCCACTTGTCCAGGCACTTTGCCTTTCTTTTTTAAGAAATATTTACAATTATGAATTCATTCATCAAACAAAAGTAGGGAAGTTTTCTTTGTCTAAGCCACTTGTCGATTCTTTATGCATGCAAGCTTCTCTTGTAGTGGGGTGTTGCTTATGAGATTTTAAATCAGGTCACGAGCAAGGTTCAATGTATTTCAACGTTTCGAACTGCCGTTGACTCGGACGGTCGGGCCGTTCGGACCAGAAACCGATCGCTCAAACCGTTCCGGTTTTACGTCAAACCGTCATCCAGCCCAAAACTGTTGAAATGATCAAAAAACCATTGACCCAAATCATTGAACCATTAACTTGTTCAACCCGGGCAACGGCTAACAATTCGACATTTATATTATTTTGATTTAAAATAAAAATAAAAACAAAAAAGAAAATGACAAACCTATCCCAACTAAACATTCGATGACTCCTCCGGTCCTTTTGAGAGTAGCATCATTAAACAAGCTTTGTAAATAATGATTAACAGCTTTGCAACTGGATTAAATAGTTCTTCAAAGGTTCAACCATCTTAACGTTGCTTTCTTGTTATTTTGAATTCGCCTATTGCTATAATATTTTAGACATAAGGCTGGTTTACTTGGAATATCTCAAGTTTGCAATGAATGAATGTTGTAAAAATCATTGATATTGATGTTTGGATTTTCAATTCTTAGAACCCTTGAATTTTGTGAAAATACCATTTTGCCCTTTTATAACTCAAAGGGGCCAATTTAGACATCAAACTAAGTTGAAAAGGCCACCTTTAGCCAAAAAAAGCATGCTACCTTTCACAATTCATTAAATAATGAGTAAAATAATAGGAAATGCTGATGTGATATTTTTAAACTCAAAAAATTGGAAAATTATAAATAAGTCCCACTGAATAAAATATAAACTATTTGATATATAAATGAATAAATATTGAAAATATATAAGTGGGTCTCACTTGAAATTTCCTATTTTTAAGAAAAAAATAGTAGGTGGAGTCCACTCACAAGAATAAAATAAAAATATTTAATATATCAATTAATAAATATTAAAAAGAATATATAGGTGGGTCCCACTTGAAATTATATGTGGGCCCACTTGAACTCTCATTTGTCGTTATTGCTGTCTTTGCCACTCCAACTCAAATTCTCCCAAAGCTCATTGTTTGGTTCATGGTTTTCAAAATTGGACCGGACCGGATGATCGGATCGGAAAAACCGAGAATCTATTTTCCTCCAAAACCGCTTTTTCCCCTAAAATTGTTGATTTTGGTCAGCAAACCGCCGACCGGCTGGTTAACCATTCAAACCGTTTTGACCATTTTCCTTTTTTTTGTCAAAACGGGCTGGTCGTTCGGGTCGAACGGTCGGACTGTTCGAACCAGTAACCGGACCCTGACCGATTCGATCACCGGTGCGTTTTTAAAAACCATGGTTTGGTTCATCCTTTTCATCTCTTTTAACTACATCATCTATGCATTAAAGCTTCTCTCCACTTCCTGCGCCTGTCATCAAGATGACTATTTCAACCATCCCTACCGTCGTCTTTCCTCATCATCACCTCTGATCTCCAACATTACACTCGCGGATGCAGAGATAAATCTGAATCGCAACTTCGGCGAGGTTATGAGAATAAAGGAAGATTTACATCAAGATATGGTGGAGGCCCAAGGAGATGTGGGGAATCGTATGGCTAGATAATCTGGTCAAGAGCCATAAGGATGAAGGGCTACCGCCATTAAAGATCTTTGGCGACACATCTTGGTTTTATTTGAAGAACCGACATGGCTACCGTTCATCCATTCGGATCCTAAGATCGTATCCGAGATGCTCAGGTTGAGAATGAAAGATGTGAGGTGGTTCGTGATTGGGGGTGACAATATGGTGTTCATCCCAGAGAAAACTGGTTAGCTTTCTGTCAAAATATGACCACAATCAGTTCTACTGCATGTGAGGTGGTTGTGACACGCCGCTACACCTGCAAAATTTTAATTTCTAGTCCAAAAGGATAAGAGAGAGAGAGAGAGAGAGAGAGAGAGAGAGAGAGGACACAAGGCAAGCAAGAAAAGAAGTTTTTTCTATGACAACTATTGAAAGGCTCTGTTGCAATGATATTCTTCACTTCACCTCCGTAAATCTTGACCACCTTACTGAAATTGTAAGTCTCTGTCTCTTCCTTGCTCACCCTTTCTCACTCTCTCGGGAATGGTTGTTGTTTCTAATGAGTTGTTTGATATGATCAATGGCAGTTCAACATGTCCTTCTACATGACCTACTTAGCTTGATGACCTCACCATCTTGTCCGTCCACTTCATATTCTGCCACAGAGACATCCTCTTCCTCCCATATGCTCCACCCTCCTCCCCCACGAATCCTTTCTCCTTGTCGCTCAATGCCGGTTGTACGCAGCTTTGCTTCGATGGGAAAAAAGAGGGTACCATGCTGCTTTATAGACTTAGACCGTGAGTGATGATCGATTTCCTGACCAGCAAATGACACCATTTGCTGGTGTTGTTGGTCGTGTTGGTGATCAGGATGGTGCTGTTCTCATTTGGGTTCACTCTTTAGGACGGCAAGAAAATGTGTGTGTGACAGAGGGGGGAAGTGATAATCGCCGCTGCTGAAAGTTGTAGCAGCAATCCTGGGTCGAAAGGAGGGAGAAGATAACCAATTGAAGGGAGAAACCCACCTATTAAATAGGAAATTTTAAGTGGGCCCCATATATATATTTATTAATTCATTTTAAATATTTCTTATTTTATTCTTGTGATTAAAATTTAACTAATATTTTTTTCTTAAAATATAAAATTTAAGGTAAGTGCTACATCAGCATTTTTTATTATTTTATTTATTTAAGAGATTATGAATGATGTCACAACACATACCTTTTTTGGCAAACCGTGGCCTTTTCAACTTAATCTAGGTCTAAATTGGCCTCTCAGATTATAAAAGGGAAAAGATGGCCTTTTTGCATAGTTTAGAAGTTATCAGAGCCGAAAATCCATTGATACTTCATACTCATGACATTAGTTCACAAGCGAGCAAAACTCGTTTAAAGCTTTGAAACCATTTTCCTTTGTCGTACTAATTTTGAGATTAGTTTTAGATAATGTTATTAGCATATTACTTTTCACTTGGTAAATGTTACTGATGCATGCAATATCTTTATTTTCCTCCCTCTCAAACAGAGATTACAATTACATGGTATAGGTAAATCTTCATGATTTGGGGTCAAGTAGTCAACCTTATAACTCACGTGACTTCTTTCTCCAGCAATTCATCTTCATGCTACTCCCTTAAAATTCAAAGTAACAAGATAGATTTTTTGCTTGAACTCTAATATATAGAAGGCCATGTTTGGGAGTGCTTAAGTTAAAAATAAGTGCTTATTTCAATAAGCATTTATTTGCATTTGGCACCCAATTTTTCAAGTGCTTATTTTTTAAAGGAATCACTTATTTTATATTGAGCGTTTGGTAGTTTTTTTTTTCTAATAAGCACTTAAATAAGCATTTGTGACTATTTTGTCCTTCATTTTTTTTTTCAAATTTTCAAAATATACCATTTGAAAGCATTTTTATTAAATTACTTTTATAAAAGCACTTTTATGAAATAAAAGTGCTTTTATAAAAGTATTTTCATAAAAATACTTTTTAAAAGGTAAAAGTACTTTTATAAAAATGCTTTCATAAAAATACTTTTATAAAATTCAATTAGGAATAATTTTATAAGTGGTATTTTAAAATTAAAATAAGGATAATTTTGGAAGAAAAAAAATTGAATAAGTGCTTATTGTATAAACACTTAAAGAAAACTGAAAATTTGGGCTTAAAAAATAAGTCCTTATCTTTAATTTTAAAATAAACACTTATTTTGATCTTATTTCCCAAATACCAATAATTGCTTAATGGTCCAAAGAAACACTTATTTTTAAGCACTCCCAAACATGGCGGAGGTACTCTTATGAGGAATTTAGATATTCTAAGATTCGAAACATTAATTGTTTTTTTTAGAATTGGGTTCAATAGGAATGAAACTCTTTGATAAAACATATAGTAAGATATCACAAACGATAACAAATGTAGGTGAACTTATAAAAAATTTAGAATTAGGGGACATGATACCTGAGATCACTACTATTCACCTAATAGAGGCTACTTTGAGGCCTCCTTTTTGACCACTTAACACTATGAATGAGAGGCATAAATTTCACTATATTTTTTGTTGTTGTCAAATCTTCAAATATATATATATATCGTGTTCAAAGGATTGTACCATTGGTGTGACCTTTATTGGTCATGAGAAAGATCCTGTTTATGAAGTTCATAAGCCCAAATAGACTCATCGAAGGTCTTTTTGTTCGTATTTGGTACCATTGCCGTTTTCTAAAAAACTGCATATTGTTGTTGTGTTGTTAAGTAGATGCCACATCGACACCAAGTCATTTTCTTACAAAAACGGATAGTGTTGCTGCCACATCGACACCAAGTCATCCAATCATAAAGAACGTTTCAGAGAAACTTGACTTTCTTGAATTTCAAGATGATGCATATTTTACATTAATTAATAGCTTATCAAAT